TGGCTGAGGGAAGCAGAATAATAAGCCCGCAGGAACACCTACCTACCTACCAAGTACCTACCTAAACGTGGCAGCTGCGTGGTATTACCTAGATGTTTTCTCTCCTTGAGGCTTGTGTATGTATATGATACCAGTGGAGCAGGGCTCTAGGGATGAAAGGCTATCAGGCCAACATATGTCTATGCATACTACCTATCCGAACATATAATTTCTTCATTCGGTTAATTTCTAGCAAGAATCTGTATATAATAGGTACCTATTATCTAAGGTAGTCATTTTGTTCCCATCCCTACCTAAGCTGCCAGAAAACCAGAAAGCATGCCAACTCTTAGACCGGACGGCCCCTACACTTGAATCCTTCCGGATCTACATATTGCATTGCCTATCACATGTATATAAATAGACAATCTTGCATCGTAAGATGCAAAAGCACATCACACTCAACACATATCAAGCCGTCTCAAATTTGGGAACATGCTATGCGAATTTCACTCTCTGTATTGTTTTCGTATGACTTCGTGCCTAAGAGGTAGCTAACTGCTACAAACCAGATTTCGTAATGGGCGACCACCCGCTATATGCATCATGCTAATATATATATAATATAAATATCATCCATAAACTCCCGTAAATGAACACTTAAATCTAAGGAGCCTGGTATCCCTCCTATTCTGTATGGAGATGCATGTAACCGAAAGATGGACGAAACCTCAAATATAAACAACATCACCGAACAACCGAGTAAGCCCGTTCTTTATCTTCGCGGTCCTTCTTCTTTTTGAATAAGGACTTAAGCATGTTGTCCTTCTTCGGACGAAGCACGACGCTGCCGGATTTTTCTTGGTCGCTGTGATTATCATCGATGGCCTTGACTTCTATCTTTTCGGACCGCTTAGATTTGGAGTGGCGTTCTGTCTTATCGGTCCGATGACTCTGGACGCTTTGGTGGCTGCGATGACTCTGAGTGCTTCGGTGGCTTCGGTGACTACCCGCCTCACTCGCGTTATCGACATCTTTGACGCCACTGCTGCTACCGTTCTTGGGAACGTCATGATGCTCTCCCGCATCGCCCTTACGGCTCTTCTGTGGTTTATGCGACTTGCTAGTCTTAGTCGTTTTACTTGTCTTGGATGTCTTGTCCGTGCGACTGGTTCGATTCGTGCGAATACTACGCTCGGTCCGCGCATCATCGCCACCGTACTGCCCGCGAATCGCACGATCAGCTTCTGGGCTGATAAGCTCAAGGTCGGCCTGGTCATCCTCGCCAAATGGCGCAATACCCCTACGCCATATTTCGATACTGCTCAACTCTTCCTCAAGCACAAGAGCCTCGTCAAAGCCCGCGCTTACTTCCGATTCCGGATATGGAGCCCGATTAGCTTCACCGGGCGCTGGTTGGTACGCCGGGAAAGCCATCGGAGAAGCAGCAGTGTTAGCTTCCTGGATACGCTTCACAATCTTCCAACCTCCAAACATGACCACCGTCACTCCAACTGTCACACCGGCCGCAATAAGGAACTGGGGGCTGGCTAGAAGAGCAAAAATTGCAGGACTTCCACCTTTGAGGACGGCAAGGAAAGAAGGTGACATCTTTCCCAGTAGCGCAGAAAGCTCGGCGAGCGTAAGAGCAACAGCAGCGGCAGCTTCCGGGTTTCCCTGCAGATGCTGAATGATATGCGTCGCAGTATGGTGTAAACATTGAGCCTCTGTTAGTAGGTTCTCGATCTTCTCTATTACGCTCATTGCTTCGCGCTCTTTCTCGACATTCTTATGGACAGGGTCTAGGTCCTTCCTTTCTTCTAGATCAGGTGGAAGACTCCCGTATGCCAAGTTCATATCAATGTCCTTCCCCTTCTCCCTTAGGGCCGGATCCGATGTTGATCGAGTCACGGGCACGATATGCGTCGGGGTCGAGTTGGCCAGCTCACCGGCGTAGATAGGCATCATTGGCGCATGCGCTAACGTTGGTCGACTCAACGTCATGTCTCTAGGGGCTGTCTCGGCATACGGAGAACGGTATGTAACCGGAGGGCGCGAAGGGGTCGTAGAGGAGACTTCAGTAAGAGTCTTTAGGTTGCGTTCAGTCAAGGCAGTACCCGCCTGAGAAGTAGACCTCTTTGAGCGGTAGCTTCTGCGGGAGGAAGCTTGAGAAGCAGCGTCATCGTGAGACGCCCGGCGAGGCCACCCATCATATTCGATGCTGTCATAGTAGCGAGATGCACTGGGTATATCGATAGTCTCACTACGCTTGATGGCGCGTTCGGCTTTAATAGACGCCTTTTTCTCCTGATAGGAGGCCTTGGCTTCTTTGAGAATATTGATCAGGTGTCTGCCCTGTGGAAGAGATAATTGTTAGGTTACACATCGGTCATAAGATAAATGAAATGAAAAAGCTCTCTGCTTATGTTGGACTGAAATCGCTGGAAGGAAAAGAGATGAGCTTTTTTTGCGGGGCATATTGTAGTAAACCCAGTGTAAATGTAGCACCGGTAATACATTGTGTAATAGTGTAATAGTGTAATAGCCACAATATTATGACGGTAACAGCGACAAGTAACACGAAATTGTGAAAGGCCATAGCCGCAAACTTACATTGCTGATTATCTTCCCCGACGAGTTCACGATCGTAACAACTTCCACAGGCATCTTAGCAACACTTGTTATTATCCTATAAAGTTGGGGATGAAAAACAACAAAGATGAGTTCTAGTTTAATTACTTATGAAGTAGCGGGAAAAGGGACGAGGCGGGAACGCAACCGGTTAGCTAACCAGCACGGTTGTCATTCGTCTGTCCGGCCAACACGCGGCGGTGAAGGGATCGCTGAACATGGACGGGGGTAATAAAGTGGGAATAGGAGGCCTAACATCGATGCACTTGACAGAACTTCGCGGGCAGAACAAGAGTTTTATTTAACTAGGTTAACCAAGTACTCTAGGTAGTATAAGTACTATAAGAGCCGACGAACCGATCAATATAAGAGGAGCATTAGGAGGGAAGAAAAAAACCACCTATTCTGGCAAGAATCCACCCAAGGACCAACAGCACATCTGTCCGAGCTATCGGTCTCGGAGAAAGATATCGTTGATTGGCTGGGTAAGAGGTAGATCAGGCGTGCGTGCAGGCGCTTCAACTGCACCACGTTGTTAACGACTTTGTGGCGGCCGAGGCGCACGAGGGATAAGTGAGATCAGTAGGTATGCAATATGATGTTATCTTTTACTCGCAGACCCAGTTTACGCTGCATCTGTACAAACGAAATGGCGTACCGTATGCGACCGCTTTCGTAATTCCAGAGGCTCGGATCGCAAAGATCCAGAAGAAAAAGAGAGAAAAAAAGGAGAAGAAAAAATGGGGGGAAAGGGGTATAATACTAAGGTATGTACTTCGTACGTACGTAGGAAGAAGAGGGCGTGAACAAGCATAACGCAAAAAAGCCGAAGATAAATTAGACTGCCTACCACTTAGGTACTTGGGTATTATTACGATTGATCAATTTCAAGGAACCGTCTTAATCCAGTCACAAATTATCATACTCGGCGCGCTCGCCTCGTTACTACGTTGTACCACATAGTGGGAGTGGAAGGCGGGTGAATTGTAAATCGCTGCTGATCGCGCGGGAGGAGGCCGAACGGCAGTGTCAAGTCAATCGGAGAGGGTTCGGGCAGCGCACGATTTGCTTGGCTTCTCGTTATCAAGTCATCTAACGAAGAAAAATGCAGGCTTTGAATGGAGACAAGTGGCGGCTATCGTGACCGCTCAATCACTCAATCAAGCCAGCGATCCTCCCTTCGAGCCGGGATATGCCCTGGTAGGAAGAGGGGATCGCGACAGCGGCTCTAACGGGACGTGCCCGCGAGAGAAGCTAGTCTAGGGCTGGTCCCTCTACATACCCATCGAAGCAGTGGCAGGAATGATAGGAATGGTGATGTGAATGGCTTTGATCCACTTCACCATATCCAGTCATCATCGGGATTTAACGCCCTTTTTCTGTACTGATCTCATGTCGTGCGCTCTTTCGTGTCCACCCCGTCTATCCAGTCCGACCACGACTTTTTTTTTTTTTTTTTTTTTTTTTTTTTTTTTTTTTTCTATGTACGATGTGCACACGATTAAGACTCGGCTGATCTACCTAGATAGGATACGTCAGTTGCTTTCGTAGGCCGTGTACTAGCCAGTTGTCGATGTTTCAGATGCTACAAAATGTTTGTAATACTAAGGTTAGCTACCTATCCTTTATACGTCAAGATGATGATGGATTGTCTAAGTTAGGGGATCTAACTTGGGGAATTTGGAGAATTTGTGTGACCCGTTCGGACCATATTTTGATTTACTCCAGGTTTAATTACCGTAGGTTTGGTTTGGTTTGGTTTGGTTTGGGTAGACCAACCAATGAACGCCACATGTGGCTAATACGATGATATCGGACGTCTAATACAAGATCGCCGGGGTTTGCAGCGTAAAGTCTACTTTTCCCACATACGTACGAAAATAACAAGGCCAAATTAATTAAGATCAAATATGCTTAACTTATACGTTGTGGTGTCTATTAAACCCTTCACACTGATTCCATAATCCATGTATACTTTATGTAGATGTTTTTGAACGTGCCCTTGCATAAAACTTCACCTCTGACGGAATATACTACCCTCACTCCTCAGCTGCCGGACGTCACCTTCTAATCCGAAATTATAATGCACATCACCGCCATCCCAAACCCTTCTTTCGGGATATCGCGTATTGTCGTTTGTACCATCGTTCGCATCCGTACCTTGGATCCAGGCCGTACTAGGTGTTGTTAGTATTACTCGGTCGTGTTAACTGAACATTTTAGTAGGAACAGGAAACCCCCAATTGCCTGGTCATACACAAAGGGCTGGATATTTCCACGCTGGTGGTCCCCACTTACTCTACAATACGGCGTTGGAATTTACGCTCAGTCACTTTTGTAATCTGCTGACCGCCAGCCAGATTAAACAGGACAGTGTAATCGGTCTCGTAATGCTCGCATCCAATCACCTTAGGAATAAAGGCGTCGCTCCAACCTGGCATCGATCTATTGAGAGGTGGTGCTTCATTCGGGTTAGTTCTCACCAAAATATCCTATCCATAACACTGATTCGGTACGGAATGCTCCTAAAGCTTCAGGAAACGGCGGTTCCATATTCGGAATACCTCCGTGGCTAGTATCTTTCATCTGCCGGGTAGAATATTCGCCGCCACTCGTGTAGGCGTAGTAGCTATAATCACCTCCGGGGACGAGGAGTTTAGAGCTGAACCCGTCCGGCGAGGCAGTATAAGAGGATGTCGTATTCCATATCGACATTCATATCGACATTGACAAGCCGTATGGATTATTGAACTTGGTAGGGCTCCTCCATTCCTATAGGCTCCTTGGACATAAATAGAGAGAAGGCACCATTTGCAAAATGAAGCTAGTCACCTCGAGTTCATCTTTCGTAAAATTTAAGGTTCGGATACCTAAGCACGTCGTGTTCTCTATGTTCAAAGCTAAGTCCATAGTTAAAGTATTACTTATCAATATTATCACTATGGGTGTCAGCCATATAAACGCCGCTAAGAGCATAGCTGGTCGACGGCGGGCTTCCCATTCAAAGACGTATAAAATGCGTGATGGCCAATTGCGCAAGCAACTCCGAAGAGGAATGATAGGCACATAAACCATGCAGGCCGCCAATGCCACCATTTTCTAGGAGATGACATCGTGGTAGAGTAAGGGGGTGGCGTTCGGGGGCTTCTCCATACTGTGCTTGGCGTATTCAAGAGATTGGCGCGAGAGTCTGCACGACTATACTGAAATCTGTCGCGGGGAGAAGATGGATTACGAGGATGCAACGGGGGACTGATGATCCATATGAACATACTCAAACTGCACTGGAGCCGGCCGTGATGCTCGAGAAGGCTCCGAGGACTTGTAAATGCTACCTGGCTTTTGATGTCGGTCGAAGGTATCTGGAGTTAAGTTCGGGGGTGTCGTAAATAATAGAGAGCCAAGGTCTCCATCGTCTTGCCAATTCATTATCGAGGTCGTTACTGATGGACTGGCCAATCTAGTTGCACCCATGATAGGAAGCCATTCCCGCGATCTAAACAATACGGAGGAAGGATGAGTGGACCGAAAAGTGTTGTCAGGCAGAGACCTAGAGGTAAGTGATACATCTTCGCTAGCTATCCGACGATGAGTTGCCGACGCCGGTGACGACACCAAGTTCTTCATATCTGAGCGTTGGCCGTGTTGAGACTGGATCCAAGGCCAATTAGCCCAGTCGCTGGATTCACCCCTGCCAAAGACTGCTACGTGTGACTCGATGAGAAGCACGGAACCCCATCGAACTTTAGATAGGGGAGCGAATAGGAAGTTTCATAGATACCTACTAGGCACCTACCTAGTTACCTACCTAGGTAAGCTATCGGTGAAACGTGAAAGACGATATATAGATGGGGGGCAGCAGAAAACCGGTCATCCCCATAAGCCTCCCGGGGCCTATTTGGCTACTCGAATTATAAAAATATGTGATGCGAACAACACCATGTGAGAAAAGGTGCGTAGGCAGTCGAGGCTTCCAGAGCACGGCAAAAGTTCGATCAATATTCGGCAACAGCTGTTACGTCGTGTATAATATAAGTCCCGGTATGTTATACAGCAGCTCACCCCGATGACGAAACCCCGTCTAGAGTTACCAATATGTAGTGACCTCAACAACGCCCGACTTGGACGCCGAGAAAGAAGAAATGCTTTCAATTCCTACAGAAGCTTGTGTATCAAGACCAAATTTGCCACGAAAGTGAAATTCAGTAATCACAGCTTGTGCGGCTGAAAATATGTTACGTCAAAACACGTAGATCCTAACAAAATAGGTACCTAGGTATGTATACAGATATGAGCTTTCGCCTTTAGCAGCTTCAAGTAGGTTGCGGGTATTGTATTATGAATCTACTAAATCGAAGCCTTGTGCTATTCCTATCAAATTCCCGTTCAAAGTTGAACCCTTTGTTTAGCTATCTAGAGGTTTCGTAGAATAGGGAATACGAGAGAAAACCGGGAGGATTTAAGTATTGAGTAGACCAGTGGCTTTATATGAAGGTATATATTCCAAAGAAACGGCGAAGAGTTATTTACCTAAGGCTAGTCTAACGAGTTTACATAGACTATGAGATCATTTCATGTACTAAGATGTGCTGACCTACCTAATGTACAGTAATATAACTGGTAGCTGTATTGTGATAGTGTTATTTCTTCTATACATGTTTCTCAAGTTAGTAAAGTGCTATTTCTATGGTAAGCAGCGTTAATACTAAACATAATATCATCTTTTTTGAATGGGGAGAAGTAAACAGTAGACTATTATACGCAGCTAGCTGGTTCGCAAAGTATGTTAGGTTAACAAGTGGCGCTCAGCCGTAGTAGAATCTCTCTCGTTTACTAAAGAGGTTCCCGACCCCTATTTCGTGATACCCTGTCGGACGCATGGGGACTGATTCATCCAGATGATGTCTAACCCTTTACTTTTCCACTCCTTTTCCTACGATACCATATTTGGTTATCCACATGCTTGTGTTTACAAGTCTTGCGTGTTTTTTCTGTGTATTGTGTACCCAAATCACATATTCCATAGGCCGTAGCCTCCCAACCCAGGAGTACTCGAAGTAGTGCACTGATGTCGTATACTGGGACCACAAACGATAATATCAAGGGTCACTCCTATGTTCCTACATAGTACGTTTGGTTCACTCATGTACGGGTCTTGATGTTAACGTGGTTAGAGCTTGGCTTTACGCACATCCACCTCGACTTGGTAATTGAATCATTTTTTATTTGGATATCCTCTAGGTTAGGAGGTTAGCACCAAGGATAGCCGGTATTATATGCGGTAAGTTCGCGTTCAGGTTCTTGGATAACCGATCTGTTGAGTAGATAGTATGCCTATAGCTTTTCGATGTTAGCTTACGAGATCCGGACTCCCCACACCACGATACGAATAGTAGTACACGCTCCGTGTAGATATAAGAGTGGGATGCCAAGCGACCAGCTTTGCGACGCATAGGCTGCCTCAAATAGGACCTAGAAACACAACGTCTAAGTAGATCATTGCTACTAGAATAGAATCCCGTTAGACGAGGCTCATCTCTGACGAATGTTCTTAGGCTTTCGCTTCTTAAAAACCACAGTGGGTGGATTACTCTCCGCGTTCCCTTCTTGCTTGACGGGCGCATCTTGATGATTCTCTTGGGACTCTGGTTTGATAGACCATAGCGCTTGGTCGTCGGTCGTTTCTTCCTTTTTTATATCAGATGTTGGGGTTTCTTTCGTCCCCCTTAGTAAATCGGCTGTTTCATCAATAGAATCCTGAGGATTATCCTCGAACTTGGGTGGTTTCGCTAGGGCACCGCTGAGCAGAGCGTCTAACTCTTCATCGTCCTCCGGAGCCTGTTTTGTATCGCGACCCCATTTCCTAGGCTTCTTGAATAGACTCTTGATTGCATTCTCCTCTTCTTCCTCGTCTACTCCACTTTCATGTTTCGGTCGCTTCCGTACGCCAGACGCGATGGCATCGACATTTTGAGGCTTGGCATCTGAATCGTCTTCTGCCTTGGGTGTATCGTCGATAATCCTCTTGCTAGTAACGGTCCATTCGCTAGCCATGGCCATCTCTCTCCTCAGTTCGGTTGGCACATCAATGCCCATCTCGGCCAATTGCTCCCATTGCTGTTGACGCTGCGAACCAGCGGCTTGTGTTTGCGCTTGCAACGAGGCTGAAGTTGATGTTCTACTAGTGCTTGCTGCATGGTGATGATCCGAAGAGGCGGAGCCGACTATGCCATTTAGTCTCTCGACTTCCCGCTTGGCGCGATCCTTCTCTCGTTGCTCTTGTTCGTGATTTCGGTGTAGGTCTCTTAGGAAACGCTTTAAGGCGCCTTGATGCTTGGCGGTAGCTTCGTGATTTTGACGCTCGAGTTTGGTATCGCGTACGTAGGTGCTACAATGCTTGCACCAGTATTTAGGAGTTGATTTCCAGTATTCGGACATGGTTGGAATACCGCCTCTAACGCAAGGTAGGTAACAAATTATGAGATGGAAAAGAATATACCTATCTTTGGTACCTACACGTAAGTACCTAGGTCCTATTCCGGTATCGATAGTCGTTTAACGGGGCTTGAATAAATTGCACTAATTCGAGGTACATTACCTACTGTGGGATGGGATTACGTAATTACTGGCTATACTGAAAATTGGTGGGCTTCGCCCACTCATTATAAACCCTTCCTAATACAACATCTATTCCAATCCCAATATCACTACCTAGGTATGTATGTCTTACAACCAACCGCTTTTAGTTATTTGAGGGTAGGTAACTATCAATAGGATTAACCTAATATTTTAGGTTTGTTGACGAACCCAATCAACATCTCGTCGTACCGTTTATCACCTAGGTAAGTAATACCTTTTCCGGCAGAGAGCTGGCAGAGACATCAAGATAAAGAAGTTCGAACCATGGTATTGCATTGATATGCTACAGGTTTTTATAACATTATGTCCTAACTCCCATGTTGCTATCACTATGTTACTCCTCATTTCCCTCGTATCTCACATTAAACCATCTCGTGATGGTATACACATGCATTAGTTCCAAGCTTTCCAAGCTAAAGCAATCCTAGTCACTTGCAACCCTTATTGCTATACCATCTTGTCTGATAAACTTATCCTAAGAGTGTGCTGGTTTTATTTACAGGTAGAAAAAGGCCACCATTGCGGTGAAGACTAGCGCACCGACAGATCCAACCGAGATACGCGATGATCCGCTCTGGGGCGGTGCCGAAGTCTCACTAGGAGCACTAGGACTCGGTGGTGATGAGCTCACCGGAACGGTAACACTAGCACTAGAGCTAATGCTGGCGCTGGCGGTTGCACTGGCGCTGGTATAAGAGCTCGGTACGCTGCTGGGTGCGGGAGCCGAGGGCCCGGGAGCCGACGAGACCGGAGCCGAAGGGGCGGATGGGATGGGTGTGGGAGTGGCCGTCGGAGTAGCCGGGGGAGCAGGTGCGCTGCCTGGTGGCGTGACTTGGACCTGGCCATCCGTGTGCTCGCTCACAGGCACATACGTGCTCGTTGGGCTAGGTGTTACTGAGGCGCAAGGCGTAGTAACCTGTTGCACTTGGCCATCACCGATCTGGCAGATGGGAACAGGGACTGAAGTCGTAACAACCTGCGGCTGGCCGTCTGGCAAAGCGGTGACGATAGTAGTCAGAACAACGCTAGTGCCGACAACTTGACCATCAGGTATCTGCGAGGCCGGGTCGTCTGAACCGCATGGGACGGCGATGATTGAGACAGGTGAGCACTGGGGAGCCCAATCGCGATCGTATAGGTTATAAAAGTCGCCAGACAGACATCGGTAGAAAGTCTTGGAGTCTCCTAACGCCAGAATATTGTTTTCGCAGACGGAAAATCCACTAGTATAGAGAGCACCAGCTTGGGCAGGAGCATCGAATTGAAACTGGTAGTTGGACGCGATGTAACCGGTTCGGTCTTTGGCGTCAAACGTAGAACCATCCTTCAAAGTCAACACAAGAATTCCATCACTACCGCACTCGGCGCGTTTCTATTCTAATCGTTAGCAGCCATTACGCATTTATCCTAATCAAGATCCGGCTTTAATCTAAAACCGTCTTGTCCATACGTACCTGAGGCTGAGAAATACTTCGCTTCTCAGTAACCTCTGCGACGCTGATCTCAAACTTGCCGTCGAAGCTACCCGTGCAACCGGCTGGTGCAGTGCCAGTGGGAGTTAGCTTGTCGGTGATGCCTTGAGGAGCCGCAATGGCGATGCCCAGAAGGGCGGAAACGAAAGCGAGCGTGAATCGCATATTGTAAATCTCAGTAAGGCTCCCTAAACGATTGACAGTGTATGTTGATGGTTGGTTGGAGTTGATAGGCGCTTAGAGGATGGTTGGATTATTGTACAAGCCGGTTTTAGTAACGAATGACTCTACCTCCAATGTTTCACTGGTCAACTCTTGCCTCTCGTCCTACTCGTATTACAAAGCCTGTTCTGAACAGTAAAGGGATGAGAAAAAAAACAGTTAGAAAAGGGGGGGAACAGCCCTTTTCACTTGTTTTATATCCTTATGCCTGTTCTCAAAACCAGGATTCCTTTTGGAGCCGTACGCCTAAATCTCATTCGTTGGAATTTACCCTTCATGCCTTCACGTACGTGCTCCACGTACGTAGCTACACACATATCCGACATCCCATTATTTTTGGTTCACATATTGCATCTAAACAACCTTGCGGGTAGGCTGGTACTCACCCCAGTTCGCCCTTGCAATCAAGATTAAAGTAACCGAAAGGAGTCAACTCTTATTATACACTATCTATCTACACTTGTATATACATGTACTTTGTAGTCGATCTGTAACCTAGGTTAGATTTTTATATTTAGAAGATTATTTACTTGAAAAGTGATGCGCAGTTCAAATATCGCTCCTGTTCAGGCGTATTAAAGTAAACCAACTAACCGTCCTTAGTATATAGGTGCTTACTTACCTAGGCAGGTAGTCGTTATTAGCTGTTACACCTACACACCTTTTGCATATGCCCTTTCGGAGCAAAGGGAGATGCAGGTTTATTGTATAGGTAGCTGCATGATGAAGGCCTGTGCGAACATTAATGAGTAAAATTGCTAGTTAAAGGCATTTAGTTAGTGATCATAGCTCTTAAGGTCTAAAATCATTCTACAACTGTATACCTTGCGTACCTACCTACCTAGGTAGATGGCTTTCTCTTTGCTTTTTCTTTGGGTATATCATAGACATGTACATTTAACTGCAGAAACGGTCAATTTGCACAGTGTATATGAAGTAACTACCTGATAAAGACCGATATGCATGCACAGATGCATACCTAATATATATATATCTATAAACATGTTTCTATTAACAGCCGTCCACGGACATGTCTGGTGATTTGTATAAGTACCGCGTGTATAATGTCATGCTGAAAATATCAATCGATATAGTTGGCCTACCTGGTGTTCCCGTCTTATCTTTCAACTTCAATAAGTAGGTACTTACTTATACATAGATCTAAAGTATATGTAGAATAATATATATGTATGTATATTTCATCGGCTAATATGGCCTCACAGGTAAGTACTGTACCTATTGTATGAACCTGACTTAGGTACTTGTCTACGTACGGTACCCTCTTCTTTCATATACAAATCTTCTCCGGTTCGAGAGTGTCTATTGTTACCTACGCAGGAGCTGTCAACTTACACAACGTGATTAAGATTGATATGTGTTACATACCACTACTGCAAGTAACCTCCGCCTCGAGGCTGTATTTCGCATCGTACCGCCGTCGATAGAATGGATGAGCTGAAATAAGATTATTTATGAAAACACCGCAGTAACTTTGTGATATATGTTTGATATGCATGAGGTCACCTTAATAGCTCACTATAATATCTTGCCTATTTAAGTCAGTGCATATATGTTTATCTCTTCATTATGACCTGTTCTAGGATCGAAATCAAGCTTTCCCCCCGGGGAACCCCAAGACTACAACCCTAGGTGCCAATCGCCATTTCCCGTCCCATGGCGGCTGGGCGGCAATCGAATGTTAGTAACATAGATCGGAGATGATCTTCCCTCCCTAGTGATCCACCGGACCCACTGGCATGTAGATAGGAAACTATGTAAGAGACATGTTTTCTTTCTTTCTTTCTTTTTGTACCTAACTAATACGTATTTTCTATGCCATCTGGCGTTTAATTAACTCCGATATATATCACTACCTAGGCTAGGTGCCTAAGCAAGTTGCATATTTACCTACTTGCTTGAATTCATTTTATAAGAATGTATGGCCTGACGGCACAGTCTATGTAGGGAAAGGGAGGCTAAAGGAGCGAGCTTATCAAGACGACGATCTGAACAGACACGAATGTAGCCGTGATTAGAAGAATTGGTAGAATGCAACCCTCCGTAAAGCTAATAGTCCAATGAAGCTCGTAGATATGGCTATGGGAAACAATATCGACCTGTTGCAGGCGGGATCTTTTTCCTATTGGATATACCTACCCTCCATCTAAACTGGGTCCGTCACATTTTCAAACAGTACCAAGGCTTAACAAGTGCAAGACGCAGGGGTAGTTATTGTATGTAATGTAAGTTATAATGCATGGTTAGTTTCTTCCCAGCTCGGCTCGGCAGGGGACGAGAAATGCAGGGATGACGGCCGTGACGCGCTATGATACAAAGCCGTCAATCCAACCCAACCCCCTCGATATGGCCATAGAAAGATGTCAGTCCTACCTTACCATGTATTCCGTCAATATGTCAGAATGATGATATCAGGAGGACGAGTAGCGGCTAGAAGAGGGAAAAACAACCCTTTATCACCGGAGGCCTATTTGTCGTGCAGTACAAGATAATGTCATAAGACCGAGGTATCTGCGACAACACCGTGAAGTATCGCGAATAATTAGTACAGGTTAGTAAGGGCCATATATAGCTTCTCGCGGTAGAGCGGCAATGTGGCTCAATAACAGCCCGAGGTTATAAGGATAATGTTACGAACGACTTGTCATCTACCTGTTATAACATCTGATGCGGTGCTCGGCCGCACAAGGTACGAGTTTTCAACACTGAACATTTTGAAAATTGCTGGTTCCGAGATGGAAATCTTCGATCTTCAATTTATAGCAATCCTCACAGTCACAAGCACGTCCCAAGATATCGGCTTGTAGTTCGTATATTGTCATGGATATCTTATCGACACGACGCAGCAAATGCAGCAGGCCTAGCTATAACTAGTAGTCTGACTAGTAGTCTCTCGGAGGACACTTAAAAAACAATCATTCAGGGGGAATCATCTATGTGCAAACAACGGTAGCCACCGCATCTCTCCCATCCTTCATTCGCTCATGACTTCATGCAACCATATCCATTTCCGTTTTCCAGAAGACCTTTCCCTCATTTAAACCGTTTCGCATAACCGTCTTATTTGGTCAGGATGCGTACCATATCCTGTACCACTTCTCTCGTTTCTGGTTCAAGTTGCTCTTCCGGCGGTCCGAGGACTTGCTGGAAGACATTTAACAGCTTCGGCGTCAGCTCTTGCACCGTTGGGTTTGAGAGCACATCTAGAGGTTTGTAATCAGCATAGTATCCTCCAGGTAGTTCTATATGGCCATTTTCAGGCGGTAATGATGAGGTATGCAGAATGTGGGCTTACATAGTTTGTGCAGGCACTGATAAACAGGCTTGTTCTCCTCGTAGTCTTCTTTTAGAGGCAACAAATCAACAAGAACAGGCAGTACGTCCGCAATCGGAACCTGATCGGGATGGGCTAGTATCATGCGGCATAGGCATCCGGCGGCGTTGTCTTGCAACCGAGCGTCCTTGATCTGCAGCAAGGGCTCTAACTTCCCTAGGACTTGGCTATAAGCAGGAAGGTACGTCTTTGCGTCTTCTGAATGATAAATGAGCTGTCCAGTTGCGTACGCCGCGTTGGACTTGGTCTCTTTATCCTCGTCGGAGAGGCGATGCAGTAACGGGCGTAACAATGTTGAGGTATAAGGCGTCACTCCACTGCCCATGTATGCGACGCATTCAGCTACCACACCGACAGCGGTTGATCGCTCAATAGCCTCGTTAGAACTTAGGAGTTTGATGATGGGCTTCTCAAAAACCTTCCAGACCTCGGAAAACTGCGGGCCTAGGGCACAGGCAAGACCGATCAAAACATCTAAAGCGGTGTCTACTACTAACCAATCCCACTCGGAGCTCCCTTGGGACTCTTCCTGGTCATCTTCCTCACCGAGATCTAGCTGGCAAGGGTGCGATCGGGTAATGATGGTACCGAGTATGGTCACGGCCTGCTCCATCATATCCTTCTGTCCCAATATAGCCGGGCCGCAAGTCTTCAGCGTAGAAGCAACGCTGCGGTTGATCTCCGTGACAGCGTCCCTAATGAATGTTAGCATCCGTCTTGCCTCCATTGTCCAAGGCAAAATTTGTAGATAGAAAAAGTTAAAATCAGATCTAGTTCAAAATACGTGTTCTCAGCAACCGCATAAAGCGTCTGAGTGAGCTGGGTATAACGTAAAGTAGTCATCATTGGAACCGGAATAGGAAACAGTAGCAAGTGCACATAAGGAATAACTTACCGGTCGGACTCATCGGGCCAGATATGTAACGTAGCGGTAGATACGATCTCGCCAAGCTTGGCGATGTTGGCGACCGGCTCTAGCTTAAGGGGAAAACCAGGTTCCCACTTGCGGCCGGTTTGCTTTTCCATGACTTCCCATACGCAAGCATATGTTCGCCAGAGGGTTCCTATGGAAGTCTTGCGGCACCCCTCGTATGAGTGCTCGGCAAAGGGAGCTACAAGCTCTATAGCCTTTTCGATGTAGGGCGTGCTCCTCTCTTTAGCGGCGTAGATGACGTCGCCCAGCACCTCTAAGGCAATTTCTTTCTCAAATGCTTGTGCGGACACGCCGACAAGGTCATCCCAATCATCGTCATCGTCGTCATCCATGAAATCCTCATCTTCGTCATCTGCGCCCTCAACACCCTTGACCTTATTCTTTTTGCTGTGCATGACAACCTCGTCGACAAGGCCATCTTGATCTTCTGGGAGGTCGAACTCAACTTCCTCTTCCTCTTGTTCCAGGCTGTCAAATAAACCCTTGAAGATACCCGCGAGAGATTCACCCAAATTCCCTTCGTATACGGTAGCTAGCTGGCTCCATAATATGAATGTAGTCTCTCGGAGGCGTGGATTGCCAAGGTGAAGGGCCTTCTCGCTGGCCACTAACAGTGGCAAGACGTACGGGCTGAACTCCTGCGCACCGACACCGAGAGCGATGCGGCCCATAGCGTCACAGACTGAGCTTCTCAACGCGAGCTCTTCTTCACCACTCTCAACCATGATATAGGAAGACATGGCTTCCATAGTCTGCTTGAGAAAAGGGATGAATGCGCTCTTGATAGAGACAGCGATAGCACCAAGCGCACCCGCTGCGGCAGACTTGACCTTGGGGTCTGGATGCGACAAGAACGTTCCAATACGATGTATCATGCTCTCTCCATATTTAGCCATAATGTCCGCTCCTAACCCCTCAGCCATGGAGTCGATAGCGCCACAGACGGATCGAATAATCTCGACATTTTTCTTATCAGACTCATCACCGCTAGCTGCATCCAAGTTCAAGACCAAAGCGGTCATGATGCTATCATGGTGGGGAGACATGGTATCAGATAGATCCTCGCCCAAACGTATGAGACCTAGGAGAGCCGCATGGCGAACACTTTGTACGGGATCCTTGAGGAGGTTTAAGACCATAGGCATGACCGACGCTATCTGGGTAGACACGAACTCGGGCGCACCTTCGGCACACGTACCCAGGGCGAGTACACAAGCCTTGCGTTGCCCTGGGTTCTGCGAACTGGCATAGGCGGGAAATTCGTCGAGCAAAGATACGATAACCTGTCTCGGCGGCAAGTCCGTGGCCAACTGATCTATCAGAGATAGAGCCGTCCGAGCGGGTGTTGTGTCTTCATCGTCGTCATCATCCGCTAACTCGGATAGGATTACCAAACTCTTCTTCATGAGCTGTGCGCCCATGTCAGGGATGCCTTGGATCTTCAAACGGCGGTATTTGACGCACTGCGCGAGGAAGGAGATCGCTTGAACCCGCACGTCGTCCTCAGCGTTAGTGTTGATGGCTAGGTCAAGCATAAACTGTACCAAGTCTTTAAAGTAACGGGATATCAGAGCAGGATCATAGGCCAAAAAGGATTGGAAGACTTCGAACGACTGCTGTATTCGCTCGTCATCGCCGCCGTCAACGGCGTCTTTCAGTACGTCAACCATGGTAGGAACAAACCCCTGGACGATATTGACATATTCTTCATCATTGTCGCAGTCGATCAGCATCAATAGGGCACTAATAGACTGCATGGTATTGACTCGCACGTCACGGCTCTGGGGATCTCGAATAGTCTTAGTGAAGAGCTCAAACAAAGTGGATAGGTGGTCTTCGAAGTAGGCGGGGTTCGCTTCCAGGAGGCTGAATATGATATAGGAGCCGACCTCACGGTGGGCGACATTGTCGGAATTGGTCAATTGCATAACGGCAGGTAGCAAGTCGCCCCATTGCTCATTATTAAAATCAATCGTTGCGATAGAAGCAATAATACGGGATTGGCCGTGACGGCACTTCGCGTCTTGCTCTCGGACGATAGCTTGGAGGAGCTCATTGCGCACAGCAGGCTTCTGGTCGTCGGCAATCTTCTCCCAGTGCTTGGGAACGAGCCGTAAGGCTTGGACAGCAGCCAACATGCGAACGGTATCTTCGGGATGGGAAACTATGACATGAAGCAGACCGAGTAGAGAATCCGGGTGAGGATAGAAGTTCTTGCGGAGCTCGGCAGTTGCGGCCTTGACCTTCTGCGTGTCAGCTGTGAGGTAAGGAAAAAGGAAATGTTAGCAAATATGAGACTAGCTAATTGTCGGCTCTATTTGTGTGTATATATGAAGTACACGTATATGCATATCTTGCAAGTACTTACGAATTTGAGATGCCTGGAGCAGCTCGACGAGCCTTTGCTGATCCATGGTGAAGGAAGTCGACATAGAAGTTCTGGCGTTTCTTGAGCGTATAGGCCAGCGCAGAATTCTAACAAGTGTTAGATATAGTAAGGAAATGGAATGGACCGGGTTGCGTCGACGACCTTACGTCTACGACGTGGTCCTTGGCCCAGATTCTTATTCCTTTTCTAACGCTGCTCCTCCGTTGACGACGAAGGGTTGGGCAACAATGAGGACCGAAGAGAAGAAAAAACAGAGTATTTAAGGTGTGTTGGAAATTTTTAGGTGGGGTCCGTCGCATAGAAAAATTAAAATTTTATTGGGGACCTCTGATAAGATATGATAACTGATTCGCTAGCTACATGTAAAACTACAAAGGCATTGTACTTTACCCCTCATGTCCTCCTTGTTCGTCTACCCCTCCAACATGCTTTAAGTAATTAATACTCTTTTTTACATATCTACCTATTTAATGTATAAAGCCTAGTAAGAGGTATTGTACCTGAAATACTTTTATAAACAAAAAAAAAGGTTTAAGCTTTGTTAAACCGGAGTTTTTCACATTAAACGTCTTTTAAACAATTTTAATAAATTAAGATAAAGTTAATTTAGTGTCGCATATAATAAGTAATGACATTTTATGACATTACAAGTTACCTTTTGGTCAAGTGGATAATCTGACATTTAGTTACCTAGTGACGCTAGCTCCAACACGAGATTAGATGATTGGGAGAGGAAGATGAGGGAATACAATTTGTCACTGGAGCTGAAAAGACCAATATTCTTGGCAGCAAGCTGAAGGTCTTCACTCCCACAATCTCAATCAGCGTAACTTTTTCATCCAGCTTGTTGGTCGGACCAGTGTAAGATTTGTCAACTTCAGGTGCGTGTTCATAATAAAAGGAAACCCCATGAACCATGGGACGCGCCTTGTTATCCTTCTCAGTTCGGCTCGGGCTGCTTCTCACGACTTCGGCCTCTAAACTCCTTTTCCAGCCCTTTCCCACGCAGGCCGGAGATGGCGCATTTGCAGCCTTACAGCCTATGCCTACCACGGCCCCGGAATATTACGCGTCAACCGAACTGCTAAGGCGCGACGAATACCACATGGGTCATGATACATGCGGATTTGGTGCTCTCGACTGTAAGGGTTGTTCTCTTCAAGTAATGCGCTGTGTGGGAAGCCTAGATAGCTAACTTAATTACGTAGCTGGTATTACTTATACTTGTTACTCAAGTGTCGGAACATGCGAAAATATCGGCGACTACAGGGGGTGTTGTACGGGAGGGTTGAAGACATGTTCGTCGAGTTTTTGGACTAAGTGTGACGATTATGATCCGACGAGTTTCTGCGGCACGAGTTCAAAGACGCGTTGCTGGTATGGAAGCACCTAATTAGACTCTATCGTTCTTCGGACCTAAGTTAACTCCCCATACAATAGTCAATCGGCTCTACCATACTGCATCACCTGGCTATTCTCTGTAAGTATGAAAGAACAAGTTCCTGGACGGTGATAGTCACGTCACGGCCCCCGTAGCTTTTCTCAAGAGGCTAGGTGCTAATTCGATTACCGAAGACGAGTGATTCAACCGTTACAGCATGGGACTGTGATACGCAAAGCAAAACTCGAGTTTTTGAGCTACTAGCCACCCCCTTAAGCCTAATTAGTAGTACGGCATCGTCGACTACGAACGATTTAAGGACCACGTCTTCAACGCACGAGTCTACTAATTCACATGCCGTAGCAACAAGTAGTTCAACCGTTTCATCCTCAGCATCGATAGATATTACTTCCGTGCCATCGAGTAATAGTTCCGGGACCCCTATCGGAGCTATTGTTGGCGGCGTTGTGGGTGGCGTTACTGTTATTGGATTGACTATTGTAGGTATCTTCTTCATCAAGAAGTACCAAAAGGGCGCTCATATAACTGCATCACCGCCGCCAATGCTTTCTGGACCTCGGGAACTTCCCGGCTCTAAAATGTCTTCTCCCTATCCGACTCCTTCCTATGGGAACTACGCTCCCATCTTGCAACACGGTGCTTCGGTACAGCCCGAGTATCAAGCTCCGGTAGCGCAAGCAACGCAAGTTGTCGAGGCACCGTATACCCCCGCCACCGGGACAGGGTACAATCGAGCCGAGTTGGGATAATTGTGTAAGGACTATGCTTTGTAAGACTTATATTATCTAGGTACATGTGATATTATACGCATAGGAGTATGCTATTTATAATGATATGCGGTTAACAGGAGCCGTTATGATGTAGAAAAGTGTAATACGGGCGAAAGTATAACTACCTAGGTACCTGAGACAGGCTCGCTTTTTAGAGACTGTTTAGCGGGACTCTTTATAATGATATAAAATGCACACTCTGCATTTTATATCATTATCTTCCCCGCCTCTGTTCACTAGATATAGGGGTAATTTAGACGGTCATCCCATTCACAACAATTACCTATATATAAATATGAAGGGGCTTAATATTGGCATTCGGTATGAACGGGGGTATGGGTACCCAGGGAACTATCATTTGTTTCAGTTACTGCATATTAGCAAATCTCCTTTTCATAGAGCTTTGGGATTCCCCAATAGCGGAAAGAAGAGCAGTATAATACAAAGGAGGCAATGGAAGGTCAAGGCTATCGAGTTTATGCGATATACCCAAATTATAGGCCTGAGTTTTATCTAGTGTCTACCTATCTATTTATCATTTAGATGAAGCATCAACTAAAATTACGTACCTTAGCGTAACTTCGAACTGAACATCCTCACAGTCTGCTTGCCTGATAGAAATGTATACCTAGCAAAGGTATTCAGGAAGCTATAACCGAGAGTGCAAAAATGTGAAATTACGTATATGGATTAGCTAGGAGATAACTAGAGCATTTAGAAGATACCTATGTTATTCCAATTAGTTACGAATAAAACAAATATCATTCCAGGTTACATCTCTTGGGGCGATGCTGTTTACTACATTCGCTGCAATATATTCTACGTCGATTAGCATTAGGTTATATTTTTTCTTGCAATATACGTAAAGTTAGGCTAGGGGACAAAAGGCGGACGGGTATCGGATCCCGAACATCCCCGTCATTCAACGTGAACAGCACCGTCTGATTACAGACCAACATTATATTCAAAGGGCGACCTAAATACCAGAATGGGAAGACATTCGAGGAAGAGAGAGAAGGCGGTAGTTGACTATAGACACCGTTGGCCGACTCAACAAACGCTATACGAGTCACGAGAACTCCGAGAAGGAGAGGCCAAAGACAAGCCAAAATCACGACGAGTAAAGGCGCTTGAGGCAGTCTCGATTCCCCTATTATGGATAAATATGAAGATTGAATCTTAGCAAGACGGAATTGACGACTATGTAGAAGCAATAGAGGCACGGAAGCAGAAAGGACCGAGCGCGTCGACATTGTCTAACAATCCTAGGATACGAAACTCTACATCCGCGAATATTAAACCCGGTAAAAGTACACACCCCTACGACACTGGCGTTGAAGATACAGCCGCAATAATTAGAGACGGCGGACAACTGACACCCGCGTCTCGTTATACGGAACGAGCTGAGACCTTGAGAGAGCAAACACCACAAGCTCCGGACCAGCTACGAAAGAACAAGAGAGTCAACTCAGCTTCCAGCCTCCGGAATCAGATATTTGCATCTACACCACAGAGAAGGAGCAGATTAACGTGTACCCCGGAATCTCGGGCCAATTTCAAGTGCTCGAAAGAACATAGAACTAAGTTTCGTAGCATTCTTGGAATAACCAAGAATAAAGCGAAGATATCAAATACTAGTTCTTTAGAGGACATATCGACATCTCTAGGCCATCTTTCGACAGAACTAGAGTCCCAAGTAGAAGAGACTCGTCAAGAATCTTGGTGGTCCTTCAAGAGGCGGGCGAGCGCATATAACGGAGATAGAGACACGAACTCCGGCCTAGCAGAGAAATTAATGCCTCGCAACGAAGAGGGCGGAAACAACCTAGAGGAGCTAGTAAATACCCGAAGGGTACGGAATAGTGACACAAATGGTCGCGGAAGCGGTTATATGCGGCATAAGATGATGAAGCCGTCCGAAAGGAACGTCGACCAAGCATACGGTGAAACGGAGAAAACGGAGAAGGGATGTTTATCTCCACGAGCAGACGCGGAACTAGCAAAAATACCGGGGCCATCAAAGCGGCGCCGAAAGAGCCTATCCTCATCCCAGGTTCGTGCGAGCACGGCCGGAACTAGTTCCACACCTAGCAACGTAGCAACGCACAAGTATGTCACCCGAGAAGAATGGAGGCATCAAACTCCGTCCCCTATGATTCCCACTCAGGTTTTACGATTGCTGCTAGGCCCCGGGAAGTCGCCGTCACCGAAAATAGGGACACAACTAGACCGGGAGGACATCGAAACTCGTACATCGGCATCATCTACGGCTATGCTGGGACGACAAAGTCGGGAGGGTCGTGCTTCTGGCAGACAGTCGATGGAGCAGAGGAATAGATCATGGATTCCATTCTGGGTATCGTCTCGGCCGCAGGTAGGACTCCCACGGCACGATAATGCTGACGGGGCGTCAAGACAAGAAGATCTTGCGGAGCCGAGTACGGGAGAGCAGGGGAGAATCACACGCAGGAGATGGAAAAGTGGATAGATTGCCTTATGCTCGGCCGGATCTCATCGAAGTTGTAGGTCTCCTGAGTTGAAGTCCATCGTAGGAGTAGCTCTGTAGGTCAGAACGAGAGCGAGAGCTACGCTTCGTAAAGGCAATAATCATTGTTATATAATATCCTTAGTATATCAAATGCGTAAATAATATATTTATACGATGTTGGACAGAGGAGTAAGATGGTGGTGAAGCTGCAGGCAAGAATGTTGACATACAAGTTTCAGGGTTAATTAACTATCAGATATAGAAACCGGGTTTGGTTCGGTGGTCGGTGGCATCGGAGCATTGCGCCTGTGGATATATATATAAAACCTCGAAATGTGCCTGCATGCTGACGCGATTGAAGCAATCTATCAAGAATCGGGTGGGGTTTGTTTCCAGGCGTCGGCACCGCGAACGGCTAGTAGAACGTAAAACTACATGTACATGTAGGTGGGGTGGAGGGGTCAGCTAGGGCGCTCCTAAAGAAAGTTACCTTTCATAAAGAGGAAAGAGCGAACAAGCTGTAACAATGTAGGTAGGTAGGTTAAATGTTGTTGCTGCTGATAAATCTCGACGACTAAGAACTTGTTAGCGTCAATTTTTATACTTAAGCCTCTCTCGTCTCTCTCTTGGTGTTGATGTTGCTCTTCCTTTTACTCATCCGAAGCTGAATATCATCCTTCTTTCTGTCATATCTATATCACAGTTCTCGCCGCACATCACCTCGTAATCATCTACTCGTTGATACGCATATAAAGATAAATATCTTAGGTACCCATACTGAGAATTCGAGATGGCTTCAAATCTTCCCGGAGACTGCTGCGTTAAGGGTGTCAAGCACGAGTAAGTTACTCCTTTACTTAAACTTTTACACCTGAACATATCTATGTACACATACACCTAGGTATATCTTGCTATTCCTTGGATCCTTATATTAACCTCGTATTTTTATGTAGGGGCACGCCCACAGGTGCAGACATCAAGGTAGGCATACACCAAGCCTACTTGGCTACTCCCGAGCCATCTACGGCCAAAGACGCTGCTATCCTGTTTATCCCCGACGTCATCGGTATCTGGCAGAATAGCAAGCTGATGGCTGATCAATATGCCGCGAACGGCTATCTAACCCTCATCATTGACCCTTTTAAAGGCGATGCCTTATCGCTGAATCGCCCCGAGGGTTTCGATTTCGTATCTTGGCTATCTAAGGGTTCTACTGGCGACAACCCCCACACCAAGGAGGCTGTCGATCCTATTATTGAAGCTGCTATTAAGTATCTCAAGGTTGAGAAGGGGTTCAATAAGCTGGGTGCCGTCGGGTACTGCTTCGGAGCAAAGGTATGTTTAAATTAGTTATTCCGTCTTCTTTCTATACGTTCGAGTCGCTAACGATCACTTATGTAGTACCTCGCCCGTCACTACAAGAACGGCATCCAGGCTGGCTTTATGGCGCACCCGTCCTTTGTTGACGAGGATGAGCTTGCGGGATTCAAGGCACCGCTATCTATCGCGGCTGCTGAGACGGATCAGATCTTCCCAGCCGACAAGCGCCACAGGTCTGAAGAGATCCTAGCTCAGGGCGGATTACCCTACCAGATCAACTTGTACTCGCAGGTAGTCCATGGATTTTCTGTCCGCTGCGACACCAGTAAAAAGGTTGAGCGCTTCGCTAAGGAGCAGGCCTTCCTGCAGGCCGTGACCTGGCTCGATAACTGGCTGCTATGACCGGATAACGAAGAGATATCGACGAAGGGAAGGCTGTGAAGGAACCTCGAGATAATCCAGATATTCCTTGATAGTTATTAACTGATGCTAAATCTTGACTATAATTATATTTCATACCGAAGGTAAACTTGCGAATCATGATTGTGATAGTGTGGGTATATCTAGAAAATACTCAGTTACCCATCAGCATTATCAGTCTTATTCGCGGCTAAAAGTTGAGTCTGCAGGCCTTTTTTTCCTACGTGCATAGCTCTCTCCAGTTCCCGCTCCTCCTCTCGTAGGGCTGCTTTTCCGTGCTCCAGCTGCCTCTTTTGCCTTCGCTTTTCTTCTGCGACAATGCGCTCTCGTTCTTCAAGCGCCTTCTCCCGCTTTCTCCGTTCCTCCTTCGCCTTGCGTGCCGCCTCGCCATCGTTGTCGGCCCCATCATCTGTGGGTAGTTGTCCTAGCGTCTGAATATATGCCTCTATTAAAGGGTCCCGGATCTGCGGGTCCAGGCTGATGTAGCGCAAGTCGGCCAGTATTTGAGCAGGGAGGTTTTCTAGGTGGGTCTTGTTGTTCAACGCACGGAGAGGGATGGTGCGTAAAAGTGTAGCCAGATCTTTCTTAAGAGTGTCTTGGGGTAATTTTAGTCGATTGATATGCTCACGATACCATTTCTCCCGATCGCGATCGTTTAGGTTGGTGTCGCGCATGGGCGCTTCCTTCTTGTACTTGCGCCGAAATTCTGGCCAGTAGAGCTTCGGCGTTGCTTTATGCTGGAGAAATGCCAGGTACGGAATCCGAGGGTCCTTCTTTTCTTCTCTCGCACGCTGCTCTTTGAGAATTTGTATTCGTTCGCGGCTCCACTCTTCCCAGGCATCTTTGCGTGCCTTCATCGTATTAAGCACTGTGTACCGCCCGTCTTCGATGATGCGGCCCTCTTCGATGAGTTTTTCCCATGATGAGTAAGGGTTGATACCATAATCATTTAGTAAATCTTTGAATAGCTCTCTCGCGTCCGTCTCAGATAGGGGGAGACCTTCAGCACCTTCGGGCCACGCGTCCGGGTTGCCGTCGTCGTATTCGCCCGGGTCCAGACCGTACTCATCTCCCATCGCCTGTAACTGATATGCAATATCGGCCTCGTCAAATTCTAGCGGTATGTCTTCGGTAGGCTCTTCCGTACGCTGTCGTTTCGGAGGGCGCTCATTGTGTTTGTCTCCATCTCCCATCGCTTCGCGGGTTTCCTCTTCTTCGCCTTCGTCGTCCGTGACTTCAACCTCTTCATAATCGGAACCTAGTTCTACTTGTTCCCCTATTTCCTCCACCACATCTGTTATAGGGGTTTCTATTTGCGGTTCCGCGGACGGGGATGTAGATGTCTTAGCATCCGCCCCCCCACCTTGCGTGCCTGTAGCCTTCTCTTTAATTCCTCTGATGTCTAGTTCTAGTACCCCCTTCATGACCTTCTCGGGGATTCGCCAATAACTCGCATTTTTGACGGGATTGTATGCAAAGCGCCGACCATACTTGGTGTACACTAGCAACCATGGCTCACAACCCGGTATGGTAACTTTGGATTTTGGCTTGTCCGCCGGCTGAGGGCGGGGACGATCTTTTCCTTCATGATGTCCGCGGTGACCACCACGGCCGCCATGCTGTTGCTGCTGCTGTGCATGACGTTGGTGTGTTGGGTCGTACTGAGCAAGAAAGGCATTGGCGGTCGCGGGATCGGAAAGTTGAGGAACGGTGGAATACTGGAGGAAGTTGGTGTGGGGGTCCTGTAGAGGAGGTGAAGGCTGAAAAATAGAAGTGGAAGTAGGTAGAGGCGACGTGGTTGGACGAGTATATGTGGATTCTTTTGTAGCCGCGTTGTGGTAATAAGTATGGCCCGTAGGAGCTTTGTGCTCCGTCCATCCAGGAAGTAAAGGTGGTGGTGGTGGCTGGTTCGAGAAGGGTTTATATGTTGATTTCAACATATTATAGTGTGAAATATACCTATGATAGATGTAGCTGATAGTGGAGAGCTAACGTAGAGCGGGAAATTCGGTGTCGGAAGAGGTGGCCCTTATAAACATTGACCGATGTAATATTTTGACCAAGTCTTTGCGAAAGAAAATGAAGTTTTAGGCTTAAAGGTCACCGAAGTGAAATGCCTAGGTAATTTGGGGGTTAGTCCCGACAGTGGGGGCTGAGACACCGCTAGCATTAGGTACCCATGTACCTTGTAGGCGCCTAAAATATGTACATGCCTAACCTAGGTACGTACATTAGGTAATCTCGAATGCGCTAATCGTCATCTTCTGATCTCGCACCTTAATCTGGCACGCAACCTCCAACTTTCATCTTTTCTTAACGTCTTATAATACATACATGTTATAAACAACAATACATAATTAGTTCCTATTCCCTAATCTGTTTCAATTTATTGTGAACAGGTAGTTACTCATTCTGTTGCTTCTCCGTAGGCATCTCCTTTGTATTGGTCGTTACCTGGAAATGCTGTGGAGTATTTTTAAATCTATACGTGGACGGTGACTTGCTGCTATTGCAATCATGACGCCGCGGAACGACTCTTTGCAGCAAGGAGGAATCTTAGGATCGGTAGCTAAGTTCTGGACTGTATGGTGATGGTCTTTTTTATTCCTTTATACCTACCTAACCTATCAGAACCTAAAGCAAGTCTAACTAATTTTCAAGCATTCATATGCACCCGACTATGTAGGATTTGCCGGCCTGTTGACGGCCTACCTCTTGATTCAATTTCTCGTCGAACCTTTCCATCGCATGTTCTATATCAATAACTTAAATATCTCATTCCCTCACGCCGAAGTCGAGCGGGTTCCAGTCTGGTTAAACTTTGTTTACGCTCTGTTCGTTCCTCTCGGATTTCTACTACTATACAATAGCTTCGCCCGAGCCTCGTTCCATAAGCATCACAGCACTATTCTTGGTCTTGCTATCGCCCTCATCCTCAGTTCGTTCCTCACCGACATTGTAAAGAACACCGTTGGACGTCCTAGGCCGGACCTAATCGCCAGATGCAAGCCTGTCGCCGGCACCAAACCTAACGTCTTGGTGACTATCGATGTGTGTACCGAGACGAATCACCATACTCTCCACGACGGCTGGCGGTCTTTCCCCTCGGGGCACTCTAGCTTCTCCTTTAGCGGTCTCGGATACTTAGCTTGCTTTTTTAGCTGGCCAATTGAGGATATTCCGCGATAGGAAGGATCTTGGCCGTTCGTTGATTTGCCTCGCGCCCCTGGTTGGAGCGGCTATGATAGCCATCAGTCGGTGTCAGGACTATCGCCACGACGTATATGACGTCTGTGTGGGATCAGCGCTAGGGTTTACAGTCGGGTTTTTTAGTTATCGGAGGTATTGGCCGCGTTTAAGTAGCCGTGAGTGCGATGAGCCATACCCGGCGCCTGGTACCGAGGTCAAAGATGGGGAAGGCTGGAGAAGAATCCGAGATGAAGAAGAAGGCGGGTTAATCATAGGAAGAAATACTGGGTATGAGATGGTCAACTTGATAGGAACTCCTGGCTAACATATATTTATTAGATAAACGAATCGCGGGGACTCCGAGTTAAAAAACCACGGAGTACGTATATTGTGATATGCCTGAACTATTATTCGATATATGTTCTACTATTCCTAGAGTGGCATCTGCGTAGGATTCAGTTGGATGGCCCTATGGTTATATTTATCTACTTGTAATGAGACCACCGAGGAGGATCTGGTCAAAGTCCATCATATATATCTGGCCGATTGATAGTTGATCTTGTCCTAGAGCTTAATCTATAGGTTGATTTCTAGGATGTGAGATGGTGATGAGGCCTAATGTAAATTCTATACATATTTGACATGGATACCTACAGAATTAGTAGCCCCTGAGGCTAGAGATGTTGGTTAGGATACGGGTAAGCTCCATGATATCTCAACTGCTTCCCTTGTTTAAAAAATGTGATCAAGTATTTTTATTTGTAGGGTCTTGCTGATATTGCGAATTTACTTTTTCTTGACCGGGAGGGTTTTTTTTTCCTCGTCTCTAATTTCCCTATCTTCCCCAGGAAATTCCCTATACGTAGATATTTATCAGTGGTATAATAACCCCACTATATGTACCAGCCACCAGGCAACCCCACCCCCAAAATCTGTCACTTTTTTTTACGCGTGAACAATTTCTAGTCGATACTCGGTACTTAGATAGTGCCTGTTAGTGCTTGGGCCTGTTTAGGCAGGTTGCCCTAACAACGTCTATTATCTTAAGGAGGTAGCCTCAAGTCAACTTCATAACTAATACACCTACTCGATCAAAGTGTTAATTTTCTCTCTCTTTTCCTCGCACACTTTCTCCATTCTTTCTCCTTCTTACTATCACCAACACCAGTGTATCATTCCCTCTCTTTTCCCCTACAATATCTAAAATCCTTATCCTATTTAATACTTTTAGTACTTGATAAAGTGGTCGTTTCTAGAGCTTGCACTGTTTGAGTATCACCGATTCTTGGCAGTCGCATCTATTTCTATTCCTACCCCAGGTTTCCAGATTTGGTAACTCGACTCTTTACCACCTTGGGTGTTAGGTAATATAATATTGTGCTCCGTTATATATCTGTTCGGCGATCTGTTCAGGCTTGATTTCTAATAACCACTGCCATATAATTACCACCACAGGTACTGTCTCTCCCGACTCTCCGCCACATAAATTCCATTTGTTTGTTAAGCTAGTTATCTTTTATATCAAAATTTCTTCTAACTATAGTCTAGAATGCCGCGACATAATGGCGGTGTCAAGCACGAACGTGGTGGCTCACCGGTGCCAAGTGTGAGATCAGGGACCATGGGGCCACCCTCTCCAAATCCTCTCAAGCGGAAAGTCCCTCCCAGTGAGAGTCATCATTCCATGGCCCGAACGTTCAATCGCTCACATGCTCGTGAGTAACTCCACACCCCTTGCCTATTTGATCGTTTCCATCGTTGCTAAATCTTCTTCACCCTATAGCTAGTGCCGAAACTCATCAGCGAAGAGATGATGAGACTGAGCCCATGTTCATGGAAATGAGGTACCGGCGGGACAGCCTCAGAAGCGGCCAGCAGGGCTCTCCAGTATCACAGAACGCCGATGCCAGCTTTCTCCAGCAGAGTTTCTCCCATCCTACCTTTGCCGATATTGGACTCAGACAGAAAGCTTGTAATGATACATTAGGAGACCTTCAGACGCTCGGCGTGTCTCGTAAGTCGTATTCCCTCCAGGTTTCTGGCAGCCTACGTTGCGTTGTTAGGGATAAACCAAGCAATGGCCCACTCACGGCTGAGGCGTGCTTGCTAATCATGTGCTTCTAGACGTTGCCCCCCTTCCTGAGCTTGTTCTTGTTGGCGACCAATCATCTGGCAAGTCCAGTCTGATGTCCGGTCTAGCTCGTATAAACCTCCCGAGGAGTGCTGGCGTGTGCACGCGTTGCCCTCTTCATATTCGCTTGATCAGTAGCAAGACAGATCATTGGTCATGCACTGTCTCTCTACAACAGGATTATGATTTCCAGCCACACCCTGATCGTAAACCGGAGCTGTCAGACGTTACCGTGGCAAAGCCATTCCCTCCCTGGGTTAAGAGTAACCACCGGGATATCAAACCGTTCAAGACTATCTTTAACCCCTCCGAGATTGAAGAGGTTCTTCGCTGGGCCCAGATTGCAATATTAAATCACAATCGCAACTTTGAGATTTTTGTCCCTGGTGAAGGCGCTTTTGCTAAAGAAACGCCCCTTGATGGTGAGTCGATGGCCACTTCATGTTATAGGCAACTCAATGCTTTATACTAAACGACACCCTTACATCTTCCGTCTTGAGTTTTCGTTTTCAATTCCACGTTTATGTCAGGCTTGAGACTAACTGATTTTTCCTCCAGTTGCGGCTCGGGAGACAGATGCCCAATTCTCTCCGAATATCGTAGCCTTAGAGATGAGAGGGCCTGGGCTTCCAGATCTAAGTTTCTACGACCTACCTGGCGTCTTCCAATCACCAGAAAAAGAAGAGGATATGTACGTGGTGAAAGTCGTGGAGAATTTGACACTTGACTATATCAAACGACCCAGGGCAATTATTATGTGGGCTCTTCCGATGAACGTTGATGTGGAAAATTCCATCTCTTTAAGCATCATCCGCAGGGCCAAAGCGACCGGCCGAACCATCGGTGTTATGACAAAGGCAGACCAACTTCCCCCCCAGAACATTTCCAACTGGTTATCTATGTTCCAAAATGACAAACAACTCGTTGGGCATGGTTTTTTTGCTACATCACGTCCGCCGGATCAAGCGCTAGAGAACGCAGCAAAATGGGAAGAACTCTTCTTCAATCGCGAGATCAGCGGTATTCAATGGCCCACCGAATTTGCAGAGTTTAAAGACCGCTGTGGTGTCGAGGTCCTACTAAGGGTAAGTGGCTACACTCGTAGGGGTTTCGGTTTGCCTAGCTACTACTGTACCCCCGGTGAATCTTACGAACTGCTTGAGTATATGGGAAGCTAACTGATAGTTTGTTGTAGTACCTATCCTCTAAGCTGGGGGAAGCCTTTACTGAGAGTCTTCCGTCGATCAAGAATACCGTTTTCACCCGTCTCAAGGTGGTCGAGAGCGAATTAGCTGCCCTGCCCGAACTTCCCCCCAATGTAGAATACGAGGTGAAGAAGAGCTTATTTGATTTTCTCCAGCAGATGAAAACCGCCATGAAGAACACTGCGTTTTCGTCTGAATGGAATGCATTGAACAGCCAATTTCAAGAATGCATATTCAGAATAAAACCAACCTGCACAGTCAAAGATTCAGAGCTTCAAACAATCGATATTTCTGGACCTGATTCAGAACCTACCACGCCGACACCACAAAGATTTCGGCCTACTGATTCAACTATGCGAAACCTCACAACCCCTAGCAGGCGACAGCGCCAAGAAGGTACCGGTACCCCTGTAAAGAATGAAGACATTACGATGGGAATGTCACGCACATCATCCGTGATCGGCGGTCCAGGGGCTGGTGTGTCGGACCCATTTACCAAGTATTCCAACCTTGGTCGATTTGCAATGGACATCAAGGATATCCGCAGTGAGATTCTGTCAAAGAAACGGCCTGGCATGCCGCGAGACTTGGTCCCCGACGAAGTTCGCGAGAATTTATGCTTGAAAGCGGTCAGAAAGTGGGAAGCGCCACTGGAAACCTATATCAATAAGACAGCGGAACTGCTAAAGAGAACCGCCAATGCCGCCCTCGAAAGCTCTCTAGAGTCATTGCGCAGCCGCTTAATCTTCAAAGACTGCAGGAAGTATTTGAGTGAATTCATTGACAAGACAGTCGCTAGCCAAAGGGCACGCCTAGAGGAAATATTCGGATCCGAAACGTATCAACTTTACATGATGAACGACGATGCGTTCCATCGTTATAAAGCACAGGAGATGGAACAACTTACACGCATGCGAGGCATTTTACGTCTAAAGGCCTTGACTCTGATCGACTGGAATTATAAAGTTAATAAATTGGAAAGGATGTCGGAGGAGGAAAAGACCAAGGAAAGGAAAATGCTTGATGCCAACCTCCACAAGGCTGGGAAGGACCCCTACGATACTGAAATTGAGGTGGCCGGTTTTGTTCGTGGGTATTACATGAGTACGACTTCTCAGTGGCGATTCTAACCCGATTCTTCTTGCTAATCATTTTATATGGGTAGTGGCCGCAGCGCGGTTCGTAGAGGGTGTGACGATGAATGTCAATTCCAACCTCTTCCGCACATATCGAGAAAGCCAGCTCGATGAGTTCTTGAACGCCAAATTTTATATCTTCAGCCAATCTGGTAAGACAACCCCCTCATAGATAAATCTAGCAGATGAAGTTGGTAAACAATGCTAACAATAGCTCACCAATTGGCAGAGCCGGGTCTTTATGAGAGGTTAATGGAGGAAGACGCGAACACTGCCAAAAGGCGGGAACAACTTAAAGGAGAAATGGATAAGTTGGTGAGGGCCATGCATAGCATCAATAACCTCGAGAGGTCCTCCAACGATACCGGCCTCAGGCCCACATATGTAAATTCCATCTCCGATAGTGAGATGGATGATGTTGTGTAGTGGTGGACATGGATGACTTACATTAGGGGATACAGTTGTTTTATGCTAGCGGAAATCTTGTCAGTCCGTTATTGTCCTTGCTTTCTGATTTCGGTCAAAATCTATTAAACAGATGTACGACTGATGCCGGTTACAGTTCTGTGACTGGATATTATTGCAGATTTTTAAAGAATAGAGTGATAAGGCGAATTGTAACTAGGATTCCCAGGATAGCTTACTTGGTTGCTGGTGTGTATTGATTTTAGAAGCCTAACAATGAAACTAATAAAAAGAGTGACATGCTAGCAACTCAAGCTTAGCATTCGAAATGAGTTTGGGGTCGACACCTTTTGAGATTGGATGTAGGTAAACGAACTACGCCTGCTGCGTATTAACACATAATCCGAGCATATATATAATAGGTAACAGCTAACAATAAGATACCCCTGGTTAAACCGAACTAAACTAACGGATGAGTTATAACACGCGGTGAAAGTAATAGCAATAATGAATAGGTAGCCAAGAAAAATAGCAAACTTCTTTATTCTTTAGGAACTACCTTAACTACATAAAAGATGTAACTGAATACATAATACATAGGTATGTAGGTAGGTACCTGTTTGGTTGACCAGAATGCTCTAACCTACCTAAGGTTCCTCGTTCCGTTGCCGAGCTTCCCCCTTAGGAAGACTCGTTATGTTTCATTCCGACTTTTGCCAAATAACCAGCCGGTCCTTTTCTGGCCCACCGCCAACTATGGTTAGGTACCTACTACAATGCGCCGGAAAGACATGCCATACATCCAATAGCAGTCGAGCTGCTGACTAGGTTCTCGACTCGTACATATGCGGTGGAAGTTATATTGCCGAAGCTTCCATTTTATGCTATGTGTTTGAAGCGTCCTGTATGTTCGATGCTTTCTTTTAAATCTAGACGGCTTGAGCAGGGCCTTGTATTCCCCCAGACCCGGATAGGTAAAGTGTCATTTAAAGGCGATCGAACGATCTGCCGGAGGGATAGGCAACAGGATTGGTCCGGCGCTATCACTTATTATCCTAGCTCGTTGCCCACGTTCCATTAGGGATCATCGCTGTCACGCATAACATATAACCTGGGGAAGCGGGTCTTTTGCTGCCATGCAGATTTCTTTTATGTCACCTATTGGGTTGTTTCACTTTAGTTGACATATAGTACTCAACAACCAATGACAGTAGGGTTGAAATATCTAGATACATCACTAGAGTAGACGTCCTTATATGCAATACTTGGGACGGTCAAATTAAAAGGATAAGCGCACTAGAGCTGGTTCTCCGTCTTGTACTCGAATCCCGAGTAACCTACGTATCGTCGGGATAGGAAAATCGAAAGTAAACTCCGCATCAACTAACTACTACATACTTTCCGAAAACGTCAACTCGGAGCCTCAAATTTACCATAAGACTCTTCTTTGAGGCATATGGAGGTGAGTATCACGACTAGATCGTAGCCGGGCTGTCGGTTTGATAGGCCGCTAGTTTGTCGGATCCTGGTCGAGTGGCCTCCCTAACTACTACCCTCTGCGATCCTCTCTACATTATCCCCGCATTATCGTAACGGCAACGATATACCTAGCACCAGGGTTAGGGTAGGATGATAAGAGTTGATTTTCATGCTGGTCTATATGTCTTCTTCCATGAAGGACATAGACAGACGCTGCGTTATTATGCTTTTAATTGCCAACCCCGGCCTCTCCCTACAGATAGAGTACTTGAATAGCACCATATCCTTCCCCGTGTCGTGCGTGGGTGTCTCCCCTAATGTCTAGACCTCTACTTGCCCTCTGAGGTTGAGGCACGAACCTGAATGATACTATACGTCGATAACCCACACATAAGAACGCGAATCTACTGGAATCAGAATGGCTCGCTCTCGCCAGCCCGCAGCCAAGGGTCATGAAGAGGAACACGAGCAATTGGCGCGTAGGGAAGGGCCCGTATTCGAATATGTATATTGGACAAAGGAGCCACATCTCCGAAAGCTTTATGCGTTGGCGTGTGTTTTAATGATAGCCTCAGCGACTACTGGATACGATGGGTAAGGCAAAGATAGAATGCCGAAAGTAGTGTCTCGCCGGATGTCTGGCTGACAAGTCACACATAGAATGTTAGTCAATACGTCTCAACAGATTGACCGATGGAAGCAATATTTTCCAAAGACGCAGGTCGGGCCGAGTAATCCTCAGGAGGTAGCCGACAGCTGGTTAGGACTCCTCGTAAATATGTTCAACATCGGGAGCATCTTGAGTTTCTTCCTCACGTATGGCCTCTATCACGTGTCTGGCTCTGATACATGATATTAACATATACCTTAGGCCATATATTGCCGACAATTGGGGCCGGAAGACGTCGATAGCCATTGGATGTGTCTTTATGATAATAGGAGGTTGTATATCTGCGTTTTGTAACGGATACGAGAGTAAGTGTGAAAACAGAGAAATTTCCAACATGAACCTGAACTTATTAACATACAACCTAGCGTTCATTACCGGCCGGTTGATTCTCGGCTTCGGCAACAGTTTATCGCAAATGGCCTCTCCCCTGCTGCTCACCGAGATCTGTCATCCTCAGCATCGTGGACCTGTCACTGCCGTCTACAACTGCTTGTGGAATCTAGGCGCTCTTCTGGTTGCCTGGGTCGGTTGGGGCACCGCGCAGATCCGTAACGATTGGAGTTGGAGGTCGATAACCCTGATCCAAATCCTGCCCTCATTGATCCAAATTATTTTCATCTATTGGATCCCTGAGTCGCCGCGGTATCTCATGGCGAAGGACCGGCACGAAGAGGCGCTCGATATCTTAGCTGAATACCACGCTGGCGGCGATAAGAATGATGTTCTAGTCCAGTTTGAGTTCCGCGAGATTAAAGAGACAATGCGAATGGAGAAACAAGTCGCCCGCGCTGCCGGTTATCTCGACTTTTTACGCACCAGAGGTAACCTATGGCGGTTAGCCATCCTCGTCTCCCTAGGCGTCATCTCCCAGTACAGCGGAAATGCGCTCTTTTCTAATTATATGGACACAGTCTACGAGGGGGCTGGAATTAGAGTCCAAGATCAAAAGCTTGCTGTAAGAAACATTATCTCAAGGCCGCAGTCCGATGTTCATTCTTGCATGCTGACACTCCCCTCTAGTTAAGCGGCGGCAAGACGATTCTTGACCTCATAGTGACAATATTAGCCGCCTTGAATGTTGATAGGTTCGGGCGACGGCCTCTATTTTTAATTTCTACGTCGGGCATGGTAGTCTCGTTCGTGAGCTGGACCATCTGTGGTGCTATTTACGAGAATTCAAATATGACCAACGCCGCTTCTGGGTATGCGCAGCTGGTATTTATCTGGTTGTTCGGCATATTTTACGATATCGGCTTCTCAGGCCTGTTAATAGCCTACGCGCTCGAAGTCCTACCTTTTAAGCTACGTGCTAAGGGAATGATGATCATGAATATTACAGTGCAGGCTATCCTCGCATTGAGTAACCAGACCAACAAGATCGCCTGGAATAAGTTCCCAAAGCACTGGAACTTTATGCTTTTCTATACTGTAAGTTTATTCTTCCCATTGCCTATCCCACGTATATTCCTATTTATATCAACGAGACCCTTTACTAATATATGACTCTTGCGTAGCTCTGGGATTTCTGCCAGCTGGCTTTCGTTTATTTCTTTTACGTTGAGACGAAAGGACCCACGCTGGAAGAGATCGCATGGATCTTCGATGGCGCAGATGCAGTCGCTAACATTGACATCCGACAAGTTGAGAAGGAAATGCATGAGATCGAGCGAGAACAAAGCATCGATTCGAGAGCTATATCGTCGAGAGGAAAGGGAACTGTTTAACCCGGTAGCCTTTCGTCTTGAGATTAGGGTCGAGGCGTTGACGATTGAATGAATTAATGATCATAGCGCAGTGATCAGGGTTACATATTAACTATTCTGTCGAGGTGAGGAGATACTCAAAAAGGAGAGAAGGGGAAATCGGAGGGTGAACTTGGTATACATGATCATAATTTGAGGAAGATGAGCTGACAATCATGCTTCATGCTTAGCATGCACTATCATTCTATATCACCTGTCAAGGCTAGTAACTAATACAATATACCACAGTGCTACTATCCATCATGCAACTCGACCTCAGCTTAGTCTAAATGGTATCAACATGTACCCAAGATATGATTGGTAAACATCGTTTTTTAAGACGAGATACGCTCGCTGTGCAGTATAATACTCCAGTGCCTCATTGATCTCATTGATCTCATTGATTCAGCGTTTCATCTCTTCAATGATCCGAGAAGCACCGGCAAAATTGAGTTCTTCCAACGTCTCTTCCCATACCCTCTCTCTTATTTCCCGGCCTTCTTTTGTGTATACGACCTTAGGATACCTACTTCAGTTAGTTAAAGTGTCTTATTGTAATGACGTATTGTTGAGATACACATACGGTCGGATACCCCAATCACTGACGTAGCTTCCATGACTCTCTTTACCCTTTGTGACGACACCGTCAACTACGGCGCTAGCGCCATTCTCTACCGTTCTTCCGTTTAGATTTTGGAAGATCCAGAATGTCAGTGCAGATATAAAGGATTTTACGGCTCCGTCTCCAAACTGCGTGCCTCTACAGAAACCCGGATTGGATGCGTTGACGATGATGTCGTCGGCTTTGATGTGCTCCCCTAGCTTAGAGATGAAATATAGTTGCAATAGCTTACTCCTTGGATAAGACCGCATCGACTTGAACTCCTCGGGGATGTCGAACTGGGGCAGCACCGGTCCCGCCTCGAGCGGATCCGCCCAATATGAAGTATCTGACGTGACGATTGAAAGCCGGGGAGGGAAGGAACTGCTCGACGACAGTTTCTTTGACTTAAGGACCGGCAACAGTAAGATGGCAAGCAGAATGGTTGAAAGGTAGTTTACCTGGAAGGTCTTCTCGTGGCCCGTAGCCTCGACAACTGTGAAATTATCGCATCGTAAACCGGCGTTTAATATGGCAATGTCGATACGCGGAAGTGTCTCGCACTTCTTTGCAAATGCTGTGATAGAACCGTACGACTCCATATCGACAAGCCAGACCGAGATGGTTGAATATAGGAACTCCTTCCGGAGCTTGTCTGCAGCCGCGTTACCACGTGCCTGCGACCTCACACCCATGACAAGGTGCGCAAGACCGAGTTGGAGTAGCTGTCGCGCAGCTTCAAATCCGAGACCAGAGTTGGAGCCGGTCACAATGGCCGTTTGACCCGAGATGGTTGTTCCCTTGGGGATTGGTTTCCGGTGGATTAGCCATTGACGATAGAGAAAGCCGATGAAGTGACCCTCAAACGTAGCCTCGCTCTCTAGATGTTGAGACATAGTTGAATTATAGATGAGATTCTAGTGTATAAAGATGTATAAGTCTAGCAGTCATGGAGCTCAGATGAATAGTGATCGGTAAATTCGTTTGACGAGACATTACATTCTCCATGCTCGGATAAATATCCTGTACCTTCCATCTACTTACCTATATAGTATTATACAGCTGTTGTCATCCAACCTTCGGATAGTGCTTCTAAGGTTGTCTAGATCATAAGTGGCTTGCTTGCATGACGCGACTAAGCGGGAGAGTCGGTCTTTCGGAGACCGTCGAGCCCCAGATTATTATTTCCTGTATGGGCATCGTTCCAAAGATATATCCATAAATGTCTTAATCGAAACTACGACAGGACTACCCCACGACGATGCAGATGAACGGGATTGGGCAAATAGCTTTGTCATCAAGCACTTCAACTTGTAAGTCTGATGGATCTCGAAATACTCGCGTAGGGGCGGAATTATTGACATGTCAGACACCGAAACTTCCTGCAGCTAAACAATGAATCCCGGGACATAACGTCGCTCGGGACCGACGTCTTAAACCCATCTCTTATATCCATCTTTTGTCTATCGTCTTATTTAAAGGGACAAGACGGATGAGTTAACTCTAGGTTAGGTAGTTTATCTCTTAAAATACAAATTTGGTACAGTTTCTACTCTACAAGTGTAATGATGTAGACGGACTGCAATTTGTTTATCCTTTCATGAGACATCAGTAATATATAATCACTACTGCTTTTTATGGCAATTTCGTACTTCGGAAGATAGTAGGTCCCCGACGCTCCGAGGGGACTTATACTAGGTACTTGAGAGGTAGGTATTTCTTTTAAATTTGTAACTTTTTATGTAAACAAGCTAGATTAACTAACAAGAATCTATGCAAAGGAGAGGATGTATCTTCAGAAGCCAATACTTGTCTTAGGTAGGCCCTTTTGTCTAGGCCCTCTTGTCTAGGCCCTCTTGTCCAGCTCAGCGCCCATGCGCTTGAAACACTGTGGTAATAGCCTTCTGTAGAGGCGGGGGAGGCGCTGCAGTCAATTCGTCGATGTTAAGATCCGGATCTCCCTTCTGCATTGCATTTCTATACCCATCTCGTGCAGCTACGTGCTTCAGGTAGGCTAGGATGTTTGGATAATCACTAAGATCGTACTTTATGAAGCAACGCATCGTCGTAAGGCTAGTCACGTTCATGATGTCAGCCGCAGTAAACCCCTCGCCCGCGAGCCAGGGTACCTCAGATAGACGCTGATCCATAAACCCAAGAATCTGCTTCCGCCTAGCGTCGCTTCGTTTTACGACCTCGTTATCCTCCCCTAGCCCTGTCCGGGATAGTGACAAAGCCAATAATAGCGCAGGCTGCAAGGTGCCATTCGCGAAATCTAGACATATCGTCAGCCGCAAGCACATAGGTGGTAGCTTTCGTACAGATAGGACAAAGCAATTATCTTACGAAACCAGTATAAATACTCGGCGAAGCCTTTTTGTCCCGGCGTAGCGACGAGTTTCCCATCTCCCCGAGTCTGCAATATGTATTCAATACAAGCGCCAGACTCGGCTAGTTTGATGCTCCCGTGTTCGACCACAGGAGCCGACCCGATGGGGTGCAGGGCCTTGTACTCCGGTGGGGCCCAAATAGGTGATCGATCGTACTTCTTAAGTTCGTAGTCGATGCCAAGCTCTTCGCAGAGCCAGACGACTCTATCAGATTGCGAAACGCCGAGATGGTGAACTATGAGAGCCATTTTGACAGAGGCCGCGGTAGTCACAGTGTACTTGAGCTATAGCAAAATAGTAAACAAGATATTGTTATAAGGTGCATCAACCTCCTAGCATTATTACGTTAATGAGTCATGAGAGGGGTAGATTGGTAATTAATTCGCCCCTAACACCGGTAGGCTTCTCTTATATACGTAACCTCGAATCCAGCCTATCGACTAGCTAAGAACTAAAGCATCTATCGTAATCGGCATCTACAAAACAGTCTTAGAAGCGCGTTGGTGGCGCGGGTGATACTATCTTAGACAAGCTAGCCTTGAAGATCTCGCAGGGTAGCTACCTACATAGTGTATGTAGTAACACTAGTATGTATTATATTAACCTTTGTCCAAAAGCAGCCGGTCATATCAGTATAGCAATTTTTATTAAAGAGAGCCGACTATTGAATAGCTTCTTTTTCTTCTTAAAGGTATGCAAGGATCACAACGTTCGTCTGAACCTAACCTTTAACACAATTAGCAACGTGTGCTTAGACCTTCTTGAGTGAAGTCTATCTGGAGGCACGAACTAGATAGTCTATTATTGAAAGGATACTTGATAGGTATCAAACTTAAACCTATCAACAGACGCATGTACATATATGGGCAAAGGAACAATAGGAGACTCGATAAGTTGAGGATTCTGCATTTCTATCAAGATTGTTGTCACCTACCTAAGTAAATGATATATTCCATGCGTTACATTTCATTCGATTAAATAAGCGCAATACCACTAACTTAAGCAGCCTTACATTAATCGAAAGTATACTGTATACCTACCTAGATATATACATCTAGGTAGTTATAGTTCACTTTAGCCATAGATATAAGTATCTCTTGAGCCTATGACTTAATGCCCAAATGAAAAGTTTCAAAGTTGAGTCATTGCCTTAGGAGGTAGGTAGGATCCTAAGGTCTACTTAGAAAAACAATGAAAATGCGATTTCGATTAATATTAAATAGCTCGCTTTAGCAGTGGTATCTCAGAAGTAACAGTATAGATCGAAAGCATATACCAAAAATAGGGGTAAATGAAACTCGGGCTAGCTTTATAAACATATTTCGCTTCCATTTCTGTTTATTTACGACTCTAATAGCAATACTCTAAGTTATATTTTCTTAGTATGCCGCGAAGTAAAGAAATAGGTTAGTATAAATAGTTGCCGGTTTCGCGCGAGGCTCTGCTTCGTTCTAGCTCCCCGCCGCCCATTATATGGTTGGCAACACGTGGCTGTGCGTGAAAATTTAACGTATTGGAGGTCGGAGGGCCGCCGAGATTGGTCGCACAGCATGCCAAACGAGGTCCTCGCGTCTACTTCTCATAGGTGCCCAGGCTGAATTCTCGATCCCCAAAATACCACATCACCCCGCCTACCTTTACGAGTTAAAAGAACATGGAGCCTCCCTCATCACCGTAGCTGAAAAGCACCACCTGCAACTACTTATCTATGAATTACTGTCCGGGGGCTGGCTTGACCCGGCATCCCTCCAAGGTATAAATGCCCGGCGTGATAGCATCATCGGTAACGGCAACTTCAGTTCGTAGACCACGCGAGCCCCGCGAAGTCGCCTCGCCACGGCCACATCAGCAGCTAGCAGGCTGTATACTATGGCTACCACCTAAGCCTGAGCTACGAGAGGACTGCGGATCCGACGTTGAGGCAGACCGGTGCAACTATCCGGTAGTAATCCTCTCACCACAGGCAGAAGATGGAATGGTAGTATATCTCATGGTATGTCCTCTTGATATATGAGACCTGTAGTTTCGGTGCTATCTACGTGGCTACTTCATTCTAACGACCAAAATTTAGATCACGTCACTAAAGGGGAAAGAGCTCAAGACTCGCTTTAAGCATGACCAAAATCTTAGGCTTGAACACATCCCTATCCGGCCAAGCCAACCGCATCCAGACAATGGAATTCTCCTTAGTCTCGAGGATGTGACACTCGTGCTGCGGAAGAAATCTTACGTTAAGACGAAGACACAATACCGCATTCAGATCGCGTCCCTACGGCCCTACGAGCGTCGAGGACCTGAGTATGTCCTGTCGCGCAAATCTTACCAAGAACTTATCAAATATGCCAAATTCACACCTCCGGCTCCTCATCCCTCATTTAATACAGTCTCCTCTCCCAGTCGCGTATGGGGGTACGGCCAACCCGTGCCTATTATTCGGGAGCGTAGCGGTAGCTATGGCGAGTACGTGTCTGCTCAGAGACGCTTGGAAAGTGCCGCAGTGAGCCCGCCCCGCGCCCACTACGTACCGACAACGAATAAGAATCCACCCCAGTACGTTCGTACTGCTGCTCGGAGTGAACGAGATCCACTGCTCGCCCAATCATCGTACACATATTCTCGCAGTTCATATCCCAGCTATCCAGGCAGCTATCCAAATAATAACCCGCCACACACGTATAGAGCCTCGGCCCGGGCCGGATACCAGAGCTCGGCACCTCCGGTACCATTCGACTCTGAGAGAGCCTGGAGGAGAATAAAGATGCTCTTCTGGGTTTTCTTAGCGCTCATAGGAGCGTATGGAGCGTACCGTGGCGTGACCTGGTTAGTCGATATAGCTAAGCAGGCTAGCTTCGTGGTTAAAAGTGGTATTGAGCAAACCGGAAATAAAATTGGCATCTTTTGGTCAACCCTAGCGAAGCTAGGTACTCCCTAGGACTCGCTCTTCCCTTTCCCCTTTTATTTCTCATATTTTGCGTGGCTTGCGAGATTTTCTCGTTGTAATCTCACGGTTATATGGATGGACATGGAATGGAATCGGTAGCAAAATGGAAAATGTACAATTGGCATTATGTATTTGAGGAGGCTTATATACGGGGACCTTCACGATATTAAGTAGAATGGCAACATCGGTTAAAATGAATCCTGTTACTGATTCGTTGCCGGGACCTCGGTATCAGAGATATCGCAATTTTTTATATACTGCTGAGGGGAAGAAGTCTCTTTGCAGTCCGGCGTAAGTGTCGCGGTAGCAACTTGTCTCACAACAGTTCTAGATTAATACTTAGTAGTGTTCATGTCACGCAACTATCACTAACAGCTTGCAGTAGATAAGAGTTCGGAAGGAGTGCGGAAACAAGCGTACCGGCTATCGCAGTTCCAGGTCTGGTTTACTTTCAATTTCCAGCTGTCGTCCCAAAGGAAGTTTGCGCCGGTGCTAATGGGGTACTCGGATCCGTCCACCTCGTAGTTTCGGTCTGAACATTTAAACCAATAATTGCTAAGGTCTGGCCACACGTTGTCGTGCTCGACGTTTTGAAGGCTGCAGCCAGTTGAGACACCGTTGGCATTGTTGACCACCTCAAACGCAAGTTGCGTCGAATTGGGAAATGCATCAATAGCATATGGGGATGTTTCGACCCTAACGTAAATTGCACTCTTAAGTGAAAATGTCGTTGTCGATGCTTCGGTACAGGACTGTGCCTTTTTGGAAGATGATAATTCCTGGCTGGACCCTGCTTGAACGAACGATTGCGCAAACGGTAGCGCTAGAAGGAGATGGCACGGGCGAGGCATTGTTGATTTGGGGTTCTAAGAAGAAAACTAAGTATAGCGAACGTATCTGCTATCCCCTCCGAAGGTATGGGTTTGTTGGTAGTTTTATCATATTACCGACTCCTAGGCCCGGATAAAATCACCGTTCTTATGATCTTACAATCTAGGTAGTATCTTTCTCGTCCTTCCTATTCTACAACTAAGATCCTAGTGTCAAAGTGCTTGCCATGATATGCAACGGAGTCGGATATCCCGGTCGACGTGACATTATCTTGGGTTTATCCACAACGGGTACTCGCGTTGGAGGTAACACTATGTAGGATTCCTTATACGGCCAATGATGTCTGTTTGATTGGCTGGCTTGATGGTACCGGTATCAGATAAAGGATCATACGCGTGTACTCACAATAAAGGAACATGATCTTGATATGGTCTTGATGCAAACCGACCTATTTGACATGGATTGCCTATTTCGTTACATATAGCAAGTGAACCCCTGCAATGCAGACTATGAAGAGGTACTTTTTGACGTTTTCCCTAGAGCCTCGTCTCTAGATCCATCATCTGGTCCCCGATGAGAAAAAAAAATCTACATCAACGAGTGAGACCTGGCCGGCCTGTATCCTATGCGCCCTGACGCCCTGACCTTTTTTCTTTTCTTTTCTTTTCTTTCACAAGAAAACGGACATCACAGACTTCAACTGTCTGCTGACTTAAATCCTGCCAACTCACATGCTTGAGTGAACTCTCTTAATAAGGACTAGGTTGCAAATTGTTAGCTCGATTAGGTAGGTACTCACTTAACCTGGATAATAGATCAGATCCGACAACGCACCTTGAAATCATGGTCTGCCAGCGACATAAATATGCTTTTCTGGTGAAGTTTAAGCTGCATGACGCGGGGGCTTTTGATCCCGAAAGCCACGCGCGCTAAAAATCTCGGATCGTCCCGTACATGGCAGTCATCAAGAATCTTTTGAATGCCAGCAGTGTCAACAGCCGGGGTTGGCTTCGGAGGCAATATGATGCGTCTCCCTGTTAGGCAGTGAGAGCAATGTCCGCATCTGGTTTTCCCGCCAGGTAATCCCATTCCAAAATGCTCAGCTAGAGCTAGAGCGAAGCATCTGTCGCCTGCGATTAGATCAGCTACTTGCTGTGTTCGCTGCAACGCATCCTCCTCTCGAGTTTCCATATCGACATAGAGCTTGTCGGTGATGGCTTTGATTTCTTGTGGGGTGCGAGGAAGGGTCTTAAGAACTCTAAGCTTGTTCTCAATACCGCTCTTTTTGAGCATAATGATTCCACTGTCGTTGTACTCCTCGAGCTTCCTTACTACGTCGGTCCGGAGTAGTCCAGTTGACTTTACGACATCAGCTATATTGACATCGTATAGCTTACCGAACTTAGCCTTTATGGCGTGCTTGTAGATGGCTCTACCCTCGGGAGAAGAGTCTCCTTTAGCAGTGTGATGATAATTCTGCATTGCCTCGAACTTGTACGATGTATATTCTGGAGTAACTGACCTGACCAGGCCAAACCGAAGCTCCAGTGTCGCTAGCAAGATGGCCAGGGGACTCGCTCGGATGTCGTAATCTCTACCTAAGGCTGTCTGATTGAGTTTGATAATATCGCCCTCCTGCGTGCGATCAACCTCTCGGTGGAATATGTCTTCTAGCAACCGACGTAGTGATTGGCGTGATGGTAAGTCGCCTCGAGCAAAGTTCTCTCTTATGTAAAAGTCGTAGGGACAGATGTAAAACATACAATGACTTGTTTTGCCATCTCTTCCCGCACGCCCAATCTGCTGGGAATATTCCTCTACCGTGCTGGATAGATCGAAATGAATAACATTTCGTATGTTAGCCTTGTCAATGCCCATGCCGAAGGCAATTGTAGCGACAACTATGGTTATACTATCAGCCATAAAGGCGTCTTGGATTTGCGCCTTTGTTTCTGCCTTGAGGCCAGCATGAAATGCAACTGCGTTAAAACCTTGATTGGTTAGGTCATCCGCAAGCAGTTCAGCTTGCTTCTGGAGAGTTACATAGACAAGAGTAGGCCCGGGATGTTCTCGCAAGAAATGGAACATCTTTAGGTACTTCTCCTGCTTCGTTCCCGTGTATTCGGCTAGTAAGTGTAGATTAGGTCTGTAGGGAGAAGTGCGAAATACATTGGATTTCTTGATGTCGAATGCCCTTGCTACATCATCAACGACACGAGGTGTAGCTGTAGCTGTGAGGCAGATGACCCTTTCGGCGTTGACCTCTTGGACAAAACGAGCCACCTTGAGATAGTCCGGACGAAAAGAGTGTCCCCATTCTGAAATACAATGAGCCTCGTCGACGGCGACCAGCCGAATACCTCCAGGAACATGCTTCATGCTTTCAACGAAGCCCTCGTTATTGAGTCTCTCGGGCGCGCAGTAAAGCAGTTTCAGCTGGCCCTCTCTGATACCTGCCATTATCTGTTTCTGCTGTTCATAAGTTTTGGTAGAGTCCAGACAAGCAGCAGCGACACCTTTACGCAGTAGGGCGTCTACTTGATCCTTCATGAGAGCAATCAGAGGAGAAACAACGATAGTTATGCCTGGATCGGTGCGAGCCTTTTTACTATCCATAGCATCTATCTTTTCAAAGGCAACTGCGGGTATCTTTGAGTGAAGCAAGCAAATGTCAGCGTGCTAATCCTAACCGAGAAGGAATAACTCAACTTGATAACAGAGCGATTTACCGGCACCCGTAGGAAAGACGACGAGCACATTCTCTTCTTGTAAAATGGATATAATAGCAGAGAACTGTTCGTGGCGGAAGTCTTCATGACCGAACTTTTCCTTTAGGATCGCCCTGGCAGTATCTCCGAGGAATCTTATGCCATTACGTTCTGTATCTTGTACTTTGTGTTGTTTCGTTAGTCGAGCTTGATGATTCTGTTCGTCATCGGGAGAACGCTCGCGCTTGACTCCCGTAATCAAGTTGTTCGCATCTATGTCACCCAATAGGTCATCTCCAGAATCGTAATCCGACATGGTAGATATATGGTTATAGTTGTGATTGTAGTTGTGGTTGTGCGCGCACGGCTTGCCAGAATAGCAGAACGGGTGTCGTAGTAGAATACGTCTAGTACCCAAGACCCGACTGTTGATACTGTTGAGTATCTTTGGGAATAACAGCCGCATTTGAATTTATTTCTCTTAGGAGGGAGGTTCCTAAGGCAGTTACGTTTCTTGAGGAATCACCAACTGGTAGGTACGTAACGGGTAATGGCCCATGCGTATGCTTTAGGTTTAATTACATTAGGTACATACGTACATGGTAGCCTTAGGTACATGTAACCCTAGGTACATTACCTTAGGTACCTACCTACCTACATAGGTACCTACCTAATGTATGCACACCTGGATGCTATTCTCATTCTTGATGCGCTAAACAGCTAGTTACTTCGTAATGGGTATAATTCATATATAGCGAAACTTTTTAACATCATTGATATGCTACTTGGCTGCCTTACTCCTACAAAGTGACCATTACGCCCCATAATATGCTTGCTTGTCTTGGTATACATGAACGCCACTATGCCGTGATGCCCATAATCGCCCCTATCCCTGATTGATATTCACTTCTTCATGTAGAGATACCTTCACAGCCTGAAGTGCTGGGTACCTGATGTTCCAATCCGAATAACACGAGTATTCGGAGGGTCTCTAAAGCTTCGATTAGTACATATTAATAGCAACTGGTGAATGTATGCTGTCCATGCATAACTTGTTGCTTTCTCTCTTCGCCATTGCAAATTATCGCAGTCGGCCATTACTGCCACCATAGAAATATTCGGCTCGCGACATCCTTGTTGATAAACAACTCCCATATCAATATAAACCGGATGAGAAGCTTGATTTTGTTCGGCATCTCTCGGGCGCACATACCGCTCTAATCAATAATGTAGATATGGAAACGCGTCTTGGCGCGATGACTTGCGCTTTCGCTTAGAATCCCATGTCGCCCACATGCGCACTGAGGCTTAATAGCTTGCTCAGTAGCTTCGGCACAAATCCTCCGGCAATAATGCACGTTCCAACGAGTTAAAAGGGAGTCTGTGATCTCGGATCACGTCCTCGCTGCGGAACCCAATATATGCGCACAACCTGACGAGTTCAGTTGTCTTCTTCCATGATTCTTTGCACTTCGGGAGCGTTCAACAGGATACGCTTTCCGAGTTCGTCTGCAGGTTTACCATCACGAACGGCTCCGAAGTCGAGAATCTGCCATTGCATTATCAGTCAGCATGGAAGCCATAAGCTGCGTTGCAGATTTAGTGGTTCAACTTACCTCGACATACGTCAAGTTATCCCGCTGGACAGCTGCTACGCATCGGCGTTCATCAAACCTGACCTGCCAGACTCCACTAAGGTCTGTGAGAAGGTCTTGGATGCATTCGCCTGAGCGGATATCCCACATCTTCAGGTTCCGGTCGCTGCCACTAATAACTTTGCGTCCGTCGTGTTGGAAGCAGGTAATCGCGCCGGTATGGGCCGTCAGTGTCGACTGGCATCGCCCACTCTCCGGGTCCCAGATACGGAGAGTACTGTCCGCTGCCGCCGAAACCAGTCGCTCGTCACGAAGATCAAGCAACCCAACAAGCAACGAGTGCCCTTCGAGCGTGTGTAAGCATGACCCGGTTTCTAGGTCCCAAATCTTCACGAAGCTATCCATACTACCCGATATACACCTGTTACGGGCTACGTCTAGCACCACACTGTACACCTTTTGCGAATGCCCTTGCAGTACATGAACTGTTTCCCCTGTGCTAATACGCCATACGCGGACGGTATTATCGTAACTCCCACTGACGAGCGTATCGGCATGGGCGGCGATCGCTCGGACCGAGTGGGTGTGACCCTGCAGTGTGCGAATGAAGTAAGGACAATCGGCGTCATTGGCTGGAGGTCCGGTCTGGATATATCTCCTGGAGCCGGACTCGGGAAGACGCCAAACTCGTAGCTGGCTATCACGGGATCCGGTAATGATTAGAGGCTTCGGCGGCATCATGATCGCCTGTCCATTCTCCACCCTGCCGGTATCTGTCGGCATTAGGATTTGTAGGCATCGGACAGTACTAGTATGACCGTAAAAAACCTGAGTGCAGAGACCTTTCTCGATATCCCACACACGAACGGAACGGTCCGTTGAACCAGACACCAGGACGTTGCCTTCGTACTGAAGTGCCCACACTCCACCTTCATGGCCTTCTAAACGACGGCGGAGTTTGCCCGTCTTAGTGTCGTAAACATGGATAAGCATGTCGTCGCTCCCAGTGATAATCTTGTCCTCGTCGAACTGTAGACATGTAATTACGTGTCGGGGGTGAGCCGCGAAAGCGACATGGCTAGGCTTGACTTTGCCGCTCGTCCAACTCTTGCGAATCATGTAGTGGCGACGATAGAGCGATTTGAATAAGTGAAGCTTCCTGAGGCTCGGAAGGCCGATATGCGGATCGGGAACCGCTACAGCTGCGGCGTTTGCAGCAGACATAGGACCCTCGGACTTGTGCACCCGTTCTCCTGTATATGTTTTCTCATCCTTGCTCATCTCTTGCGCGCTTGCTCTCCGTTTCGACCGCTCAGAGCTACTGAGGCTGTTTAGAGCCCTCTTACGCTTGGATGTCCGTAGTTTCTGTGGCGGGTCAGGCTTCGAGGAGCGTATCAGTTCGGTCTCAGTAGAAGTAAGTCTAGCTTGGGTGCTATAGTCACGCTCGCAACCTTCGGGTCCCACCGGGTCTTGCCAACCCCAACCTTCTCTAATAGCTCTATCGAGCTCTCCGGGGGCTAGGGTAAAGCCGTCGTAGTCGAAGAGCTCTTTCCAACCCGTCTCATTGCTATCAATAATTCCTCGCCAGTGTTTCGAAACCTGAGCCGCGCGGCAAAGGTCACGGTGGTCTAGGTAAGAAAGGATATGTAAGGTCAGCTCAATGGGCAGGTCCTTCAAGACGTCACATTTAAGGGCTGGGTTGACCACATCAGCAACAATGTGAAGGGTTTTTCTGGAACATCTGCGGAGAAACTGATACATCATGAATGACTTCATCTCGGCAGGCATCGAGTCGAAAGTTTCCAACATAGAGCGGGTGTCCATGATTGTAGGTTGGGATTGCGAAGGATCTTCAAATCGTCTGACAACAAGAGACGAAGGTTCCGTAGTAGAAGACGGGCCAGACTCATAATCCATCGAATTCTGACTCTCTTCTTGGAAAATGATGGAAACATCTTCGTCAGCCGCGTTGTCTCCATCGTCTTGATCGAGCCCACGGAATTTGGAAGCCTGAAGGGTCGGAGACAGGCGCGGGCTGGGCAAGCTTGCATCTTGAGCAGCGAGAGTATTGATAGGTCTTGGGTGGTGCAAGGCACGAATAGATTGCTGGAGTGATTCATCCGCGTCCACATCACCAAAAGGTTCAGCCTCCGCATCTGCATCGGTGATAGGTGGCGTAGCCACATTGCTACTAAATACAGTGTGCGAGTCGCTGCCTGAGGGGCTCGACACATCAAAAAAGGACTGGGATTGACTGGCATTATTTGATTCCGGGGTTTCGAAAGAATCGAGATGTGTACTTCGAAGTTTGAGGGATCGATTCACGTTGACTGGAGTCGGCTCAGATGTGTCGGGAGTAACAGGGAAACTGCCAGTTAATCTTGTCGTGTTGTTCTTGATAACGTCCTTACGGGAGCCATTAGTTAGCGAGCGGCGTAGCTTATCTGACACGGCGTTAGGGAGGCTCGGTACGAATGATCGTGTTGACTGTTTCTGCGAACTTTTCCGGACAGATCCGCCAACAACAGGGGAGGCAGCTCGAGAATTCACCCGGTGGGCTCTACGGGACGATGTAGGTAGATAAGGTTTCGATGAGCGGCGACTAATTTGGTGGTGGGCAGCATCTAATTCCGGCTCCGCCTTGATAACCTCAACGGATCCATCACTAGTAGACTGTTGGGACTAAAATGTAGTTCAGGCTGTTAGACAAGAAAAAAATAGAGGCAGAAGGGAATAGAGGGGCAGAACATACATCTTGCTGATATTCAACATCAACATCATCAACAGGCCAAGATATGCCGCCATAGTGAGCAACGTTAAAGCTGAAGTTAGCTAACTCAGGAGGGGTGGATTTCTGAGCTAGAGGATATTCTTTGGAGTCGAGGGAGGAGAGCGGCTTCGACTCTCTCACAAGAAGAGGTGGATATGATCTCTTAGTAGTAGTAGTCGTGGTGACCGTCTTGGTCTCGATGCACTCGGCAACACCAAATTTGAGTTGTGGATGCGAGAGAGAGTCGGCATCGTCAAAATTGACCGAAACTGTCGTCTGACTGGATCGAGGCCTTCCAGACTCCATCCTTTCGTCTGCGGATGGTGCCTGTATCCTCATACTATTTCTATACACTGGAAATCATGTATGTCAATAAGCTTGTTGTGATAGCATGAAATAGGAAGCCGGCGGTTCGATGTCAGAAGTCAACTGAGCGATTATAGGTCCAAGTCGAAAGTCGGGGCCGAAATTGAAATCAAAATCGAAGTTGAAGTCGAAGTCTAGGACAAAAAATGAGGATGGGAGGGTGGGGGGATGCCTGAATAAGCAAAGGAGGCGAAGAGAGGGATGGAAGGAAAATGGAAACGCAGTAGTTCAAACAGTGATAGTCGCGTGTTTTTTTCTCTGAAGGGTTGCTGAAGGGTTGCCTGTGGTATTCTATTTGACCCTTCTAATATTGTGATTAGGAGGGTATTTTTTTTCTTCCGAACAGAGACGACTGGGTGGGTAGGTGTCTTTATTGCGAACGTGTTTTGAAAGCGCGCGTCGACGCAAGTATGCGTGTGTGTATATGTAGTGTGCGTATGTGCGTATGTGTATGTTTGGACGGGTTTGGGTGGTTGAAGGTTTTTCGGATTGTAAGGACTGTAAAGTGGTAGTGTGGTGGTTGTTAATGACAGCGGTAATGGTAAGTGGTAATAGTAATGGGTAATAGCAAATGGCAAATGGCAATGGCAATGGCAATAGTGGTCAGGATTCAAGGAGGGGAGGAGTCGGCCGGCGCTGCTAAACAGTTGGTGCCAGCAATTGACCCCAGTATTATTCACAGAAGGTACATCCAACCATGCCACGGCACGCTAAGCACTACATGTACTTTTTTCTACCCACACAACCTATCCATTTACCAAGCGCGCCTCCTTCGGCTGAGCATAGTGTCCCCAGACCCACAGGTAAAAATTAGTTGCCGAAGGCAGTAAAATCCTAAAAAAAAACTTGAAAGTGACTTGATTAGGTAAGGTACTCTAATAACCTTGAAGCCACCAGAACTCTTCGTTAAATACATTGATGTACCTACCTCATAGGCACAACACGCGCTAAATCTGGAATCCTTAAGTTGAACCTTGGAATGTTCAATAAAGTATTAGTACTTTATATTAGGTACATTAGGTACATATATTAGACTCTGCAGCCAGTCACAAAGTACCACCTGGTTTTCCATTCCTGGGGAAAAGGTTGACCTTCAAATGTTCAGATGATCCCGATTTTCATACACGACCTAAGGTGCCTACATGTACCTAGGTAATCTCCATGTTAACTTTCTTCCATCTTCCCACGGGGTCCGAGTGGCTGACTTCGTAACCATCACGCATGGGTAGGTAGGTACTACATCCATGTACCTATTAGGTATTAATTACCTAGGTACCTAGGCAAACCTTTAAAATGTTTTTCTTTTACAATATTTTTCTCCCTCGGCCCGCACACTTCAAACTACCTACTTACCTAACCTAGGTACATACATCAGGCTGGATGTTAGGTATGTACACACCAAACATGTCATTTTTGATGAGGCACATATCATTCCTTGCTCTTGCATGCATACCTGCCTGCCTCCTAGGTATATAATTCTATATAATTCATTACTGAGGGATGAAGATGCGACTGAGAAACATCCAAAGGACTATTCGTAAACTCATGCCATTATTATTATTTATAAGAGAAATTCGACCTTGTCCAACTCCCGGTATAGTTATGCTTAGTTGAGAAATGCGGTTGATTTTACAAAGCATCTATTTGATAGATTTAGCCCCGGATCTCGGAGGCAACACAACCCATAGCAGAGTATCATGGCATCATGACAGCGTGATATCATGTTGGTTGACAGGTATATATATTATATAATATAAAAGGCTAAGACAGGAATCCGTCTAGTCACAGCAAAAGAGGTAGCCAATAGTTGAACCCTCTACAGGCGGCTTATACGTTTAGCCGTCTTGCACATGGCCTACACAACGAAACGTAGGGGTTACTTATAATACGTGTACCTTAGGTACCTCTTAGTGTTTTTTTCTTTCTTTTTTTTGCCTGCTTATGGGATGAAACTGTATGGCTGCATGGCACTATTTACATCTAACGACTTCAAGTTGGTCTAAGTATAATTTCCAAATTGAAATACGTCTAACGTAAGAAGATTGTGTAAGGCATGCTGTTTACTTTTATGCCATCCGGAAGACCATATTGATCAACTCTGGCAAGATATTAAAACACGTAGATCACGCAAGACGGCATGTTCATACAAGTCCAAAGAAACATGTTTCGCTCATCGCCGCTTAGGATAGCGGACGACCCTACTATGATGGTGCTCGTTAAGAACCCCTCGTTCTAGTCATGCATGGAATGTTGCTCCGCCAATCAAACAGAGACTTTTAGAACTGGTCGAAAAATCAAATACATTGGGAGGCCGTTTTAAGGAAAGGAGCTAGATTGGAGAATATGGGGAAGGTCGACCATGAATGTATACGGGGAGCTGCAACAGTTGCATAGAATCACTTTGCAAGCCTGCATGGGCTAGGATGTCCGTCACCCAATTACTTTCGAGGATAAGCTAATATTTATTTCATTCTCGACGCTGCTTAACTGTTTGCACCGATAATTTGTCCGTTGCAGCATTAGGGAGAAGCCTAACGTAGGTAGGTCGAGTTATGAATAGCTTCACAATATAATTTTGTAGGCAACTCATAGATAACATAAATATGTCTAGATCCAACTGGATATTATGATCACGCTGTTGGCTCTACCCATATAGACTTGGATAGTATGTCTAGATATAGTCGACTCTTCATAAAACTTGACTCAATAGCTACTCCAACAGAGATAAACTCCATAGTAAAAGGGGGATCTTAACACAATATACCTAGAGACTCATCTTTGAAGTGACGAGATAGACTACCCTAACTACTATATACATAAGACTAAAAATCAGGGCTCAAGCAAGACGGCTTGATGTAGCTTGGTGTCAGCTTTCCTACAACACGTAAGCTGTTGCAAAGGTAACGCCAAGACGATAATTTAAGAGCGGCCGCTGCGGGCTCCTATCTAGCGCAGCTCAGCTGAACATATTTCAAGTTGCACCGGTTATAAATGGGAAAAAAAAATTCACACCTTGTACTCATTTGTTGCTTAGACTATATCCTTTTTTAACTCATTACTCTTCTATCCCCAAATGGACACGGTACGTTAAGGAGAGAGAGAAAAGTCGATGCAGGCGTATTCTCCGCCGCCATGCGCTACGTAATATAAGCCTTGAGGAGGTCTTTAGCCAGAACAGCTGAACCTCATCTTAGTTAAGGGATCAGCAAAGTTGCATGTTCAGAGGCAATTACGTCGATATGTCTGCTCCTGGATTATATCGTCCGTCGCTCTCACCTCAGAACCCCGAGCCGCCTGGGTATGTTAATGCTTCTCTGGAATATCCGGATAGCGGCTATCCACCACTACCTTCTGGACCTCCTCCTCGGAATCCGGCCTACGTACTCAACTCCCGGCCCCTGCTGCCCCCCCCGAGACCTCCTGGCTATGAAATCACCACTCCAACTAGTTCTAATAAACAATCCCCCGCCTCCTCCAGGACCGCCCCTAGGAGTCGTGAGGCCGGCTTTTGCCAACCTCCCGCCATACCCCTATCATTATCCCGAGGCGCCTAGTCTAAATCAAGGTTACGATTACTCACGCGCACCATCCTCAAATCTTCACGGTCAGAATGGTTTAGCAAGGATCCTACTGCCTCTGCCTAACCCATATGGCCAACCTGCCCTACAACAGCTAGTTAGTACCTATTTTACAGCCCCATCACATCCGCCGACCATAACACAACATCTGCCGAGTTCCCGCAAATGAAACTACCAGGATACCACATTTAGCGCATACAATAGCTACGGGAACTCCTGATATTCGACCATTAGAAAACAACCTGAGTTCTTCAGCGACATCACAGCCCTTGAATACACCGATATTATCTTTATCGCCTGACCAGCTCCCATCGCCATCTTCAGAGTATTTAGAGGCTCAATTCCAATCTTTATCTATAGAAAATCGGCCGCTGACTAACTTGTCGTCCGCTTCGCATCATGTTTCTCAGTCCTTACAATCTTCTCCGGAAACTTACTCAACTATTCCCATAGCCACCTTCACGTACCCAAGCTATATTGTCATATTTACGAGTTACTGACAGAAATAAACTTAAAGGCAAGCCTATCGCACTGTCCGCAGAAGGCCTACCGGCACTTGCGCCACCTGCGGTAACTTCCTGTATTGACGATCCGGTGACGTTCGCAACAGACTGGTACTGGCATCCTGACGCACCTAGGTTTTTGATATGTTCGCGCTGCTATGTCGACTACATCCATGGAACTAGATTTTGTGACCCTTTCCGAAGGGAGAGATTCAGCGACGGCAAACCGCGGATATGCCGGTTCAGCAAGCTGAGAATGCGAAATCACCTACTTAAAGACGCTCTCGCAACGGGATCATTGGAGCTAGCGTTGGCTTGGATGCACTCCCGGTCACAAATCCCTGACTGCAAAGGGATAGAGGGCGTTAAAGGAAAAGTCGGTATCAAGTGGTACATGGCGAGATTAAACGATATACCAGGCTTTGTGTCTTGCGAAGACTGCTACGAAGACCGTATCTTAACCAACCACTTTTTTGTCAACTTCGAGCCGACACAGTTACAGCCAGCAGAGGATACCGTATGTAAACTCGAAAAATTACCTTCCCCCCTGTTTCAGGAGCCTCTAGTATTTTTGCCATGAGTTGACTGAGTAACGGTTGCTCCTAAGACATGCCTAGACCCCTTAAATTTCTTACCAGAAAAGTGATCATTGACTTTGATTGTTGTAGTGGAGCTGCGACATAGCCGTGCCTTTCATTGAGAAGGAGTATGAGGCCAGGGGCAAGGTCAACGACTGGGCCGGCTTCGTAAGTGAGACGAAGGCGTCAATGTCCATAAAGCCTTGCCCACAACGTAACCCGGAGTCAACCTACGGTAGGAAGTGGCTCGTTCCTAAGCGTGGTCCTGAAGGGTTGGTGCTCTGCTCGGGATGCTATTACGACCGGGTGATCCACACTGGTGAAGAGGCGTTATGTGAGGTGGATGAAAAACTTACAAAGGCATACGATAGTAAAGTCTGGTGCAGCATGGGTGTCTTCGGCATTAGAATGGCTATGGCTCGTGCGCACGACATCAATGACTTCTAGGTATTCTGGAGATCTATATATAAGCTCGCCAACGAGAAATGTTGTGATGACGACGGTATCGAAGATGGTATCTGGTACACGCTGCCCCCTAACCCGCTTAACTTCGGCATCTGTGCCAGATGTTACATGACCATCGCGGAGTCCATCGCGGAGTCCCTCAATATATGACGCTTCTTTGTATCGAAACATGATGCACAGCCGGCCGGGACGAAATGACGATGTTTTTTTTAGCCTCTCGCATCCTCGATTTCGGCAGTTTATGTCACGGCTCTTAGAGATGTATTATACGCATGATCCGACCTCATTCGACAAATTTGCGTCAGTATATTGATTTCTACCCGTGTGCCCTCGCGACGAAGATGCGGAGAACAAACACTGGTACGGATGGATTGACTGCACGATTTGTCCCGAGTGCTATCACGACTTCGCGCAGCAAAGCCCTCTGGCCGCGAATATGGAGCTCAACAACACGCTGTTAGAAACGAACACAGTGTGCGAAATGTATAACCCGCGTATGCGCGACCTTTATATAAAATGCAGCGAGGCGTCGCCTCCTGACGCCAGGGAGCTATTCACATGTTCGGTGCAGCGGCGTCTAGTCTAGATGCAGACAGTTCCATAAATGCGGATGATGTTATTCCGAGCGAAGATGGCGCTGAACCAGCAGCGGTTTCCTAACGTTGCGAGCTCGCACTACAACCAGGCCGGCATGCTACAAGATATCATTCACGGGCACATGCACGCATGTGGCGCTGCTAGAGTTGGTTACGGCTACGCGAATGGGAATCTCCTGTAAGGCGCCGTGTATGCTCAGCAAGCCACGCAAGCTGGTGCTAGTGCTGCAAGCGGTAGTGCGATTCTATTTGTCGGACAGCTAGAACAGCAGTGAAGAGCTGTTGAGTAGATGGTAAGTGTAGTGATACAGGGGGCAATTAGGTGATTAGTATGCTCATGTCTGGTAATATATCATCATCTTAGGTGCCTGTGTATGTTTAGACGATACGATTTGAATTGATACCGAACGTTGAGTCCCTAACTATAGATCGTGACAGAATCTACACGTCTTAGTAATGAAATTTGGGACTAGAATAATACCACGGGCTTTCATCTTACCCCTGAGAATATCTCACCCTGTTAACCTAGGGGGTCGAGTGATTGGATTATTATTCAGCGGGTTCGCTTTATCAATGCTAAGGATGCCAAGTTTACAGGTCCCAGCAGGATGGATAAACGGACGGTTTATTTCGTTTGACTCTTGGCGACCTTATTTAGGGTTGAACCGGAATGCTATTGTTAACGGCGCTGGGGGCTGACGGATCTCGCTTCTATGTCTACATACCGAGATGTAGTGTACCTAATGTAGTATTTAGAGTAAGATACCTAATCTTGGGGCTAAGGCTGAGGCAATATGTACAATAATACTGCTGTGCCGCTCCTGGTGCGCCATGCTTTTACAACTTTAACAGGGCATAGGTATATTACTCGCTTCTCTTCTGTCTCATCGGTATGTATTAATTACAGGTCCCTGTCCCTGTCCCTGTCTATTTGACTGGGTTTGAGTATCGATAGTGTCAGATTCAAGATGAATGAGATATCAGACAGGCTCATGCAATTGACTGATTCGCTGGTTTTCAAGAGTTCCAATTAAAAAAAAAAAGGAAGACAAAGAATTTACCCCCGAACACGGGGATTTGGCCACCTACAAATTAAGTATATTTCCCTTCTGGCCCTTCTGGCCCAAGAACGTTACCATCTGAAGGGAAACAAGGAAATCCTAGCCATCCGGCCGTCCGTCCCGTTGAACCAAGGGTTTAGCGGCTCCGTTCGTTTAGGATACCTACCTTGGTTCAAAGTTTAGTCTCACGAATCGAATGATACACTGGCAAGCTCCGAGGTTTCGCTTTTTAACATCTCGGTATATTAGAAGATAGTTAATCTGCCTCCTTCACTATATTGACTTCTTTACTTTATGACGAGAAATACTCCAGGAAGAAGACAATCAATAGGACCTAGGTATCCGACAATACGTAAGTCTTCCTTTTCTGTGGTCCAGGAGCTTGATGATATTACAGGTCAGGTACAATGTCTGGGACATCTTCACGTATCGAGCCGCCTTCCCCGGAATCTTGCCATGACAGAGACAAACTAATAGGTACTGAGCTTATTCTGTATAGGTCGGTTTGACTTCGCGAAGTCATACGAGATACGCCATAGTTTAAATTTTTACTTGTCAGCGATATACTAGCAAATCTCGATTGGATCTCTTATGCCTCTATACCTCATCGTCATATTTCATCCACCGTGTGGGGTACATCCAGCATATGCTACCTCGGCCGGCGAGATAAATAAGGCGAAGAGGTAAAACAACTCGTACACTGGCAATATTTCTCATTCTCAAGCCTAGAAGATAAACCTACCTATCAGCAAGCTATGCAAGTATAAATCCGAGTATCGACGTTACATATCGCACTTGTCATTCTGCAAGTGTTAATTGGTTCACGTGGGTGCGTCCCAGTGACTCGGAGGCAGACTCAGGGATCTTCCTAGCAGTAGGAAGAACGCCACGTCCTCGACCTGAGAACGATTGGATAAAAAAGAAAAGGGTCCTGCGAGCTTCGTCCCGCCTGTCACCGATTTAGATTATGCACAAGCTGATTTTGCGTCTCCGACAGTATGGTCGATGCACGATGGCAACCGAAGATAAAAACAACAAGCATCAACCTGATAGATCACTAGATGAAATCTTAAGGGGGAAGGTATATATTGAAGAACTCCCTTCGGATATAGAACCTATTAGGAGACTGTTGGAGAAATATAGCGGCATTCGCACTAGAGACGTCGACGATCATGTTCATGAAATAGTACGTACCGTAATATTCCCCTCTTGCTAGGTTTCAAGCATAGACTTATTGTCACATTCAGCGAGATCGTCTCTGGGAGATCTATCCCTATATTTACATCGGCCACTTTCGTTTCCTTTCCCTTGGGTTCACATTAGATCCTCGGTACCGGATAGCCTTAGATCGGTTGCTCGCGCCCAAGTCGGAGGCTACATTTCTCGACGTGGGCTGCTGCGTGGGACAGGTATTGCGACAACTCGCATTTGAGGGTGTAGATTCGTCGAGGCTAAACGGCACGGATTTGGAACCACGTTTTCTAGACGCGGGCTACGACTTATTCAAGGACCGAGACAAGCTCAATGCTACGTTTGTAGCTGGTGATATGTTGAGTCAAAACGGGCAGACCGACGAAGGCGATGAAAGGTTAAAGGCGTTCGACGACAATATTAATATAATCCATGCGACTAGCTTTTTCCACCTGTTCTCATGGGAAAATCAAGTCCGGGCCGCCAGGAGAATGGTGCGATTTCTCGACGCGGACGACCCTGATGTCATGATTTTCGGGCGCCAAGTAGGAACGACAACGCCTGGCGACAGAGAAGGAGCTGGAGGTTCTAAGAAGTTCCTGCATAACGCTGTAAGCTGGCAAGAGTTATGGGACGAGGTCGGAAAAGCAACGGGGACCGCGTGGCGGACTGAAGTGGACGAGATAGAAGAATCTGACATACATCCAGGCGGTAGTACCGATGGAACGCTTCGGCGCATACGGTTCGGAGTTTTTCGGGCTTGAATACTTCACTAGGTTGTATGTATATTGACCTTGATGTAAATTTAGTTGGCGTTCTCATGGATATATCCACAGGCGGCTTGAGGGAATTGGAGCACAAGGTCTATATTGGAAGGAAAGGTAACGAGGCACAACGGAGCTTTTCTCTGTTTAGACTTCATGGCGTTACTTGCATTGCATAGGTACCAATAAACTCGAAGTAACTATTACTTAATTATGCATCCATCACTACGTCCTTGTTGAAATGATGTCGTTGATATAAGGTAGACATAGTTCTTCTTGAGTGGTGATTCGTGTAGATAGTGGTACCGGTGTTGTGATTCTGTTGCTGGATTATTTAGCCCTTTAACTTATCTATACGCATGTCATATATGAATAGCATTGAGGAGAAGATAGGAAGGAAGCATGAGAAGAAAGGAAGTCAAAGATATCACTCAGCCAATTAAGCTAAGGCTATTCCTAGGGTAACCAACCTAGGGAATAACTCGTCCGGAGAAGGGGTTTCGTGACTAGCAAGACCATTTCACTAGGTACCTACCCCATGCAGTCACAACCTCCCCCTTCCTAGCTTAAGTAGGTACCTAATTGTCATATTGCAAAAACAAGACCTTATCAATATTGTATTAGAAACCATAGGGATACGATCACTACCTAGGTTAGGTTCCTAAATTAATCACTACTTTCTGAAACCCCTTTTCCATGTCAAACCCATAGCCAGTAAACTTATCATGTCTATTTCATCGTAGGTCCTTGTAATATAATATTGATAGCCTGTATTTCAAGTGGAAATGATGCTTGGAAATAATTTACCTTGTCGTAAGTTCTAATGTTAGGTAGGTATCTAGATTAGACTACTAGGAAACCTAGGACAAGGGACTCTTACTTATATTACTGGCTTACTATCTCAAGTAGGTTCATATTTCACCATACTTGAAAGCAGTTTCTCTCTCACTTCTTACTCGAGTCCTTACAGCTAAACTCTGAATAATGGATAACTAGCTAATATATTGCTATTATCTTGGGCGTTGAAACTACATTAAGAATTCAATGGTCTGATACAGAGGGGATTTATAGCAAAATCTATGGCTCTGTACTCTTGCAATCGTTATACGAATCGAGAAGAAGAGAGAATATAACGCGGGCGCCCAAACCCAGCACATCGGCAGTCTTAGAATATTATAGTCGAGGTGCTTCATCTGTGATGTGGATTCACAAATCGTCACGAAAGATAAAGAGACCTAATATAGGGGCTAATGACTCTGGTTTTCCCCAATTAGCTTGAAGTTTGACCTATGACAGAGAGAGATGAGACAAAGCTCTCTGGCCACCGACGCGTGGCGTCAGCTCACACGTCGGTACCGAAGGGACTACATACACACTTGGTGCAGCATATGAGAGTACCTAGCAAGCAACATGAAGGTGATCTGCAATCTAGATATATTCCGGTAGGCTATGGTATACAAGAGTCAGGATGGACAACCACTCCTCCTCTCTAGCTTCTAGATGCTCTCTGAGGGCTAGTTGATACGGAGACATCGTGAACTCCCCTCCAGTGAGTTGAGCTTGGCGGGCAACCCGGTCATCCCAATATCGTGAGACATCGAAATAAAGCTTGCGACACTCCAGGACGAGGCGGATGCGGCGCAACTGGGTATTAGTGAGTACACCCTCGCTGTAGTTGCGAATTCCAATCCATTGAAGAGTTGCCAACTCAAAGTTCTGAACCGACTCAAAGACGGCAAGCTTCCAGGCCACGGGATCCTGAAGAGGAAGAGGAAAGGTTCGTGTGGAGGAACTGGCAGGCTCATGTTAATAGGTCTACAGCAAGGGTAGTTTAGAGAGGCGGATATAACAGGTTAGGTACTTACGTAGCAGACATTGTTGTGGAGGTACTGGTTTGGGAGACTAAGGTGATGATATAAGGCCTAGTAGATAGGTAGCTTATAGTGTGCTAATTGACAGTCCTACGTAAAGAAGAGGTGGTTAACTTGCTGACAACAAATAGAGATAAAGGTTAGAGGTAACGTGTTGCTCCATGGAGAAGTAGTATTTCCATGATTCTACTTACTAGGCCTAACTGACAGCGCGTCTAAATGCTTTGACGGGAATAATTGGACGTTGGGTTGCTGGTAGTGAATGATGTTTAGAGTGCAAGTTGATTAGTCGGCAACAAGAAAACCCAAGAATAAGTCGGTGTTGAATAATAATTGGAAAGTGGTCGGCGGCCAAGGCGAGAAGGTACAAATCGGCGACAAATATAGACAGGTATAAGTCTATAAGAAAAGGAAGAGGTATATGTAGGTAGGTATGAGTCGGCAAAGGAAGAAGGAATAAACCAGGAACAACTCAAAGTAGAGGATCAACTGGCTGTCGGCGACGATAATAGTCAAGGACAACTCGGCTTAAGGGGGTAAGAATCAGGTCGGCGACGAAGGTAGACAGGTACGTGTCAGTGATGAAGACAGTTAAGAACGACCGAGTGAATAGAATAGACAAGAGCGGGTCGACTTTAAAGTTTGGATAGGAACAAGTCGGCGCAGAAGACAGACAAGGACAACTTGTTAAAAAAGATGAATAGTAAAGAGTCGGCGAGGAAGATTGTTAAGGACAATATGGTGTGGTAGGCAGTCAGGGTAAGTCGGCGTAGAAACTAGACTGAAAAGTCTTGATGTAAAAGATTGACAACAACAAGTCGGCGACAAAAGCAGATGAATTGTGAATAAACTGTTTCAAGGCAGTCGCCGACTTCTTTGGTTGGGATATTTTACTGCCTGCATGTGGTGAACCTTAGTTGGAAACTTGATACTTCAGGTGTTAAAAGGTAGGTACCTAACGTGTAGGTAGACATAAATTAAGCTTCTAGTAGAACTCTTCTGTTCATGCCATCTGCCCGGGTAACTACCCCCATAGGATAACGCAGGAACGATGGGAGGTAACTAATTAAAGTTCGAGCGGGCCGTAGACTTATACAGATACCAGAGTCAACGTGCATGTTGTAACTATATGTATGCAGCTGCACGGCTAGACTGGTATGCCCCTGAATAGATCCCTAGTTAGCCTATGTACCTTAGGTAGTAATTCTGGCACCATGGCACTAAGATGCTACCTACATAGGTACCTGTAACGCTCAAAAGTAATGCCAACCGCCATACAATGCAAATATCATGTAGTAGTAGTGTTTAGTACAATACAATACAGTACAATGCAGTAGACTTAACGCTATGACTCGGAGAAAATGAGGTCAAATCATAACGACCCCCTCGTCCCCCCTCGTCCCCCCTCTATCATTCACCATATCCTTTTAGCCACCATCTCGTACCTCATCACCTTAGAAAGCCCATCGTCACCCTTCTCTTTGAATTTCTCCTCCGTCTTCCGCTCTCGTTCACGCATTTTCTTCAGTCCTTCCTTATCGTCCTCGTATATCCATTTTCTACGATCGTCCCCAACCTCGACAGCGCCCCATGAACCAACACGCTTCCCCAGTTGTGAGAAATTCTCAGACTCTGCCTTACCAGTCGCTACTGCGTGTTCCTTTCGCTTCATCACAGCGTACCGCTCCTTGGAATACCGTAGAAGAGCCATGCCCAGGAGGAGCTTCACGATAAGAAGTACAATCCAGGTGAGAAAGAAGAAGATAACCATTGTGAGAAGGGCAATGGCGTCATCCGAAGAGAAAGCTAGGAATGAACGGGTCTGGGACGATCCATATGGATTTCCATATACCGCACGACCTAGAGCGTTCCTAAGAAGTGTATCTAAATGCTCTAGTGCGGCAATCATCGCAGGCGAAGACGGTGTTGAAGACTCTACCGAAAGCTCCGTGGTCGACGTCGGAATTGGAGGGTTGATATGCGTGGCGAGGAACATGTGGTATACCTGGATCGAGGCCCGGATGAAGAGGCACGATAACGGCAATAGTGGTAAGCCCAGTCGCCGAGTCAGCGATGGAGCCGAAAATGCCTATACGCCTGATAGTGAGATACTGATTCAAAGCACACGCTATACATAGTAGACTTACATTGGTATAGTAATCCTTACATAAGATATCTAACATCCTGCTGTAGAGGGCCGGCTTGACATTGTTGAATTTATTAATGAATGCATGTTTTGTCCAATCCACCATCATCTCGATACCTATGACGACGAGAAAAGGGGAGAGTACCTCGCCGGAGAGTATCCATGACGGCAACACAGTGAAACTATTGGGCAGGCTTGAGCTGGTATGGACTGGACCGTGTTTTGCAGCTCCGCCATCTATCTCACTTCCGGCTCCCAGCACGGACAGGCCTCCTACCTCCACGACGTTTCTCATACCAATGATCAATAGAATAATCCACAACTGAAACCGCTCAACCACGTCCGAACAGGTCAACTGGAAAAGATTCTCCTTTTCGATTCTCTTGAAAACGCTCCCTTTAATTTCCACGAATTGATTGGATATTAAAAGACTAAGAAGAGAATTCGAGTATGAGTTTACAGCAACGTTCAATGTGATGACTTGGTAGAATAAACACACGGTGTGAACGATATTATATATTAGCGAGAGTATGAACATCCCGAAGGGGAGAAGGACTTTAGATCGCCCGGAGCTATTTCTTGATAGGGTCTCGGAACTGAAGAGACACTCCAAGACGTCTTGACCGAGGGCCGAGAGAAGGCGGTCGCCGACCTCGAGAATATTGTAAATGACGTAGAGTTTCATCGAAGACTGAGCGCGAATAAAGTGATACATTCGGCTGGCGTCAAGGTTCATCAACGCCAAGGAGCTGCACACGAGCACGAAGCCTTGGAGGAGGTCGGCTTTGTTGTAAGAGGTCAGGTTCGAGGGCATAGACTTTGTCCTCCGATGGCGAAACCCGCCAGATCTGGGCATTGGATGCTTCGGTGGATGGAATACACCGTTGCTGCCTAGCCGAGAGGCGTCTTGGGTAGACATACCCATGGTCTCGGATGAAGTGTGACGTCGCGTGGCACCATTCTGGATGGTGCTGGAGCTACTTACCCTCGCTCGACTCTGGCTCCTCTCCGACTCGCTAGCCGCCCGGCTACTGTCAGATCGGGTTCGTGACTTGAATCTACCTCTCCTTCCTCTTTGCCAGAGGCGCCAAGTGCCTTGCCAGACATAGCCGACAACCCACCGTGCTTCCTTCCCAATTACGTATGCCCACCATTTTACAAGGACGCCGAGAGCAATTAGGAACCTTATAGGTAAAATGGTGAATGTGTATAGCCACGCATCGAGGCATGCTAGAGTGCCGAAGGTCAAGACACGTTCTAGGTAGGGGGGTAAGAGGAGAGCATTCAAAAGCCGTTCGAACTTGACAGCGCTGGATTCGTATGGAACATCTGCGGCGTGGGAACGATGTATATAAAGAGGACTGGGTCGTTGACCAGCTAGTTCGAGTTGGAGATGGGTGGGGAGAGACATGGGCGGGAGAGGTATCGTGGGTGGTACAGGAGACGGCGGTAGGTCTGGTCGATCTGGTTTCGGAGGAGACACGGGAGGCTTTGACGCAGCGGATGAAAGGTTTAGGGGGGGAGGGCGAGGAAGAGGGTTAAAGGAATTTCGCCTTATAGTATTCGATTCCATTACAGGAGGGCCGGTTGAAGACCTCCTATTAATGGGCGGGCTAGAAAGCGTTCGTGACGAGGAAGGGGGTCGTCTGAAATCTGCTGCTGTCCTCGGAGCATCGTGATATGCTGGCAATAATGTATCTTTATCTGCGGCTGACATCTGGGCACTACCTCGTAACTGATCTGACATTGATGGGCGAGATATAGACTCGGCAACACCAGCGGACATAGGATACTCGGTACCGTTTGGTTTGCGCTGGGGAGGCTGGGGAGGAACGACAGCGATTGGTAGCGAATCGGGCGACGAGGTCAAAGCCTGCATCTGGGAAGCAGAAAGCTTCCTAACACTCTCGTGGCTTGGCTTCTTCGTAGCCGATTTGGAGACCGAATGTGTACTCGATTTGGCTGTGGTATCGGTAGATCGACTAGAAACGGATCTATCTGCGCTGCTATATGTTGTAGTAGGCGATGTGTGTCCATTGACGATGCTGCTCGATATACCATTTCTATTTGTAGTAAGTTTCTCGGTTACACTGCTCATATCGTAGCTCGGCTCGCGTTTCTCGAATTTGGGGGTGACGGGAGTAGAAGCAGTAATCTCAAGAGAAGGGAACGGGTCGGTTGGAAGAGTTGGGTATTTTGATGTCGTTCTGACTATAGAATTATCTCGATATTGTTCCTCTCTCATTATACTTCTCCCGGATCTTTCGTCGGTAGCCTCCCGCAAGCCCGTAGGGTTATCATCGTGGCTATCATTGAAAATCCTAGTAACGCTTGGGTCTCGCATGTTTGATTCCTGCATGAAGGGGATGATGTCGTTCTCGATAAACCCATCGCCTCCACGGTCATACTTGATTCTAACGCCCTTCAAATGCGTAGTGAATGCTGGCCATGAAAATGCAGAGCCTCTAAAATAGTTGACGGTGTTTTAAGTGAAGTAATGAAGTAATTCTATATGGATTGGTAGTTGTTTGCCTGTCTATTCTTTTGTCGTCGGCCTTATAACTAACCGTGATAGATGTAATGGAATATGGATAAGGAAGCCAAGTTGTAGCCATGTTAGAGGAAATTCCGCAGGGTCCAGAACCTTATCAAACACAGTGTTGTAGCCTCGCAGGATACAGTACGGGAATGCGGCATGTTATTGGTAGCTCTAAAAATAGGATATTCTCATAAGAGTTACATAGGTACCTACCTCCTATGTACTTTAGAACCTTAGCAATTATATACTCTTTTTTACATGTCCGGGTACGGATTACCTGAAACGTAAATTAAATTACTTCACTATTCGTTATGTCTCACCGTGCATGCGACATATCTTTCTTAGCTAGATGAGGAGCAATTTCTGGTTGAAAGTCGAGGTCAAGTCCGAGCCCCTTGTTTAAGTACGGGGCTAAAGACCGACCCGACCAATTAAAGCTTCTAAAAACATGTATCTATCATGGCATCGCACACCTCGAGCAGTACTCTTGCTGCTTCGACCGTATAAGTCTAAATCTGAGGATTTTCAGCTGCTTCCTTTGTTCCTTTTCAGCCCCCATCGCCGGTCATCGTTGAGACCTACGTACGGACAACTTATTTATGGTGTCTGAGGGAGGTTAACTCCATACGCTAATACTAGGTAGCTCTATAACCAAAAGCCAATAGGCAATATAGCTCGCATTTGACTCCATTCCGATTTTAACTAGAATCATTCTACGAATCAGCTATATCCTAGCTTCCGAGGCGGGAGGAGATAGGTAGCTCAGGAGAGTATCATACGTGTATATATATATATAATGGCACTCTCTTCGCCATACATAAGTTCAATATCAACTCATCAGGATTATATTTCTATTTATTTGAACGCAACATGTTTTACCAGCGGAGTCTCTCGCCGAGCATCCTAGTTGTACTAGTAGCGATAGAAACTGCCTTGGCTGCTCTTAATGGTCACTGTCCCCCTTTAGGGCCAGTCCTACCCGCTCCAAAGAACCCGGCAGTACACGAGTCTGTCCGGTTGGCAATAGACAGTGTCACCAATACATTCCAAAACCTCACCACCAGTCTCCTTTCTACTGGCATATCTGTCGCAGTCAAGTCGATACATGAAATTGACCCGCTACTAGAACTCCACCATACACCTACGGCTCTTAACCCCAATGGAACATCAATCATCGATTCACAGACGGTCTATCGACTCGGAAGTATATCTAAGATCTTTGCAGTGCTCTCCTTGCTGAAACAGGATCATGTGAAACTGGATGATTCTATCACTCAATATGTTCCTGAGCTGCGTGAACTCAAAGGAGAGACAGATGAAGTTAGTGATATCACAACTGTTAGATGGAGTGAAGTGACTCTTGGCGCTCTTGCTTCGCACATGAGTGGCATTTCTACAGACCGTAAGTTATATATACCGCCGTCAATTGGTATACTTGTTAATTGTTCCCAGTTACAACCGACCTGGCTAGTTTTCCCTTGGACTGGACCGAAGTTGGTCTTCCCAAATTGAACGAGACGTCGAAGACCGGGTGCGCTGGTGTTTTCGGCCTCCCTCCCTGTAATAGGACCGAGTTTTTCAGAGATTTTGGCAAGCGGCACCCAGTGTATGCTCCATTCACAAACCCGGTATACTCAAACGTCGCGAGCGTCATTCTAGGTTATGCCATAGAGGCAATAACCAATATGACCTACGACAACTATGTTAAGCAATCAATATTCGCTCCCCTATCTATGACGAACACGACTATATTTAATGGGCCGGAGAAGAACGCATGGGGATTTATCCCTGTAAATGAGACCTGGTTTGATGTTAGCTTCGGATACGAGGATATGTAAGTTGTAATACCCATTTAGACGTTGGATGTATCTAATGTTGGCTAGAGCTGGCGGTTTCTACTCGAACACAGTCGACCTACTTTCCTTTGGTACTGGTATCCTCAAGCATGCCTTACTGGATTCTAGTAAAACAAGAAAGTGGATGAAACCGGCAACATCCACCTCGTCTTCTGGTCTACTTATTGGCGGACCTTGGGAAATTCTTCGCTCTAACACAGTCACTAAAGATAAGCGTCTTATTGAGTTTTACTGTAAAGCCGGCAATCTAAATTCGTATAACAACATGTTGTGCCTAGTACCGGACTATGATGTCGTTGTTACTATACTCTCTGGTGGACCACAGTCGAATGCCGACCTGGTGGATCTGGTTCTTACGAAAGTCGTGCAAGGCCTGCTTCCAGCTATTGAAGATGCGGGTAAGGCAGAAGCATTATCAAAATTCGGTGGCATGTATACGGACGCCACTACGAACTCTACTATCACTCTTTCTCTTGATGACGCGCCAGGATTCGCGGTATCTAGATGGGTCGTCCGTGACGTCGACGTAATCAAGAACTACAGTAAATTCGGTGCACTATCGAGTAGCCCGACAAGCAGGCCGGTTTCCATCCGGCTGTATCCCACAAACCTGGTTTCGGGATGCCACGATGCCTGGCGGGCCGTGTTCGATGTCGGAAGCCCAGAGGAGAGTGCGAAGAAAGACGCAAACTCATTCTGGCCCGATTCAAGTTGTCACACGTGGGGTTCTATGGACCGACTCACCTACGGCTTCCGATCTATAGATGAGTGGGTCTTTTTGCTTCGTGACGATGGGTTAGCACAGAGTGTAGACCTGAGGACATTTAGAGTTGAGCTGAAGAGGGAGGCTTGATTTAATATTATGTAGTGTTGTGGTGCGGAAGATGTGGAATGGTACGAAGACTTCAATCTCAATTTAATGCCTAAGGTGGTATGGCTTCGCAATCATGGTGATCCATCGAATCCTCTATGTTCGCGCTATGCATATAAGATTCCAAGTACTGATATCGAAGTTACAAACAATTTCAATGTAAAAGTTGAAAATAGAACGTGAAACAGGAAGTAGTATATTTAATGCTAAACAAAACTATAGACTTTATCTTTTTTTCTTTTCTTTCCCCCCCATTTTCCTATTCGAGTCCTGTGCGTCAAGACTTCAATGCTTAAACAAAAACATCTCCAAGCGTTGAAATAACCCATGGCATATTGCCTCATGCGTCGCAAGGTTTTTGCCTGAACCCTGCTTCTAGAGCCTTGAGCATACCTCCCTTGCGGGCAATATCTCTAAGTACAGACATCTCTGAATAATGGATGATTTTCGGATGATTTTTCTTTTGGTCCCAGCCTACATAGGATCCAAAAGTTACAACAAGAGCCCGACGGTCGATAACCTCAGGAACTTGCAAAATGGTCTTTAGAAGAATGACCTTATCGCCCCTTCTTAGTGCCTTATATCCCCCCCGTCCGAGGTAATACTTGATTTGCTTTATCGCACGCTTGTTAAGCTCCTCAATCTTGTTGGCATCAACACACTCCTGGCTTTTCTTAGCTGTATCAAGGTACCATTTCGCGTCCTCTTTTGAAGATGCCTCTTTGGTTTCAGCATATCTTTCGAGAATGAAGTCTCTTCTCTCTTCTTTATGAATGCCCTTTTCGGCTGCTTCCTCACGTAAAGCGCAGCTCTGGCAAGGGTAGTCGGTAGGATGATTTGAGTAAGTCGAAACACCCTTACTGGGGCCACCCTAGTAGGGGCCACCCATTTCCCATACAAAATCAACGATTTCGCATATTTATATTTAATTTAAGAAAATAGATAAAAATGTACGGTCTTTAATTTTGAATAGAGTATTATATTCTTATTATATATAAAAATTGAAAAAACGTTAGGGCTAATATCTGTGGTGAAATGAGTATAAGAGTATACACTAACAGTTATACATA